CATTTGATTTGTTATAAATTATGATTATTTGTTGAAAAACCCATATTTACAGAAAGAATAGACCCTTCAGACGTCAATTGAAAAAAGTTATCAATAATGTTTTTGTTTTCTAATTTATTCATTTTCAATTTATTTTTCTTTGGCTTCTGAATAAATCCAGACATCAATTAAACATAAATATCAAAACTGAAATTTGATAATAATTATCTCGATTAGACTAATTATATGAACAAATAAAAAAATTAATTTTATTTTAGCAAAAATTTTCGAATCATTCATTCATTCAATCAAAAAGAGATGGAGCAACAGTTGCAGGAAATTCAAGTTTTTTTCAAATTCTCATTATCAGTTTTCGTTCATCACCGAATCATCTATACAAAAAGCTAACTAAGCTGAGATTAAATGAAATTTCTCAGTTCACAAATTGTGAATGCAATGTTATTGCTTCTTTGACTATACTCTATGTGTATATGCGTGTTTGTTCATCAAACATCATCAGGTTTATTAATAGATTGAAGGTCGATTTTTTTTTCTTTTTCCTCATCATCATTTTTTTCATACATTTTTTCATTCCATTTGGTTTTTGTTTTCATTAGGAATAAAAACAATGGTTAAACATTTTTTTTGAGAATAAAAACCACATAATCAGTTTGTTCAATCGATTATGATGGCGATAATGATCAAATTAGATTTACAATATTCTTGTTTTTGAAAACAAAATTCAAACTATTGTATATATAGGCTGTAAATTTACTATTAAATTCTATAGATTCCCATTACTGATTTGTTTGTTGAAAAACAGTTTCATACAATGTGATGATTTTTCTTATGTAAATATTGTTTCAAGATATTGAGTTTTTCTATTCAGAATTTTTTTTCTTTGTTTTTTTTAATTCTAATCCTTTGTCTTTATCATATTTGTACTTTTGTTGTTTTCTTTGTTTGTTTGATCGATTTGTATTTTAATGTATTTTGATAAGCGTGAGCAGATATATTGTTTTATTCTCTCTCTTATATTTTATTGCCGGAACTAAATCATTTCATGAAGAATAAAAAACTAATGTTCGTGGAAATTTAAATTATTTTTAATAAATCATACCATAAATTTCTTATGAAATGATAATCTTACTAATCAAAATACTTTTGCCGTTATATTAAAAATTATCAATAGTGATGATTGTTTTTTTTCATATCATCATTTTATCTTTTACAACAACAACTAACGATTGTATTTTGATCGATTTAAAAAGGGCTTTCTCAGAAATTAAAAAAAACAGTTACGGTTTTTCTCGCTGACGTTATTAGAAAAAAAATGTCTATCTGATCATCATTGATGATCATCGATGGTATTTTGCTGATCTTGTCATCAGACAAACCAGGAAAAACATTGCCTATTTTTGGATTTCTTTTTTTTGTTGTTGTTGTCAATTAACACAATGAAATAATGATATCGACCAATCGATTAGCAGTTTTCTATTTTCTTTGAAAAAAAATTCATTGCCACTTGTTGTTGGAATGAAAATAATTTTTTCTTTTTCATTCAAAGGAATGGATAAGATCAATTAATTAAATTTTTTTGTTACTTGCTTTATTTTGATTGACATAATTTGTAAACAATTTATGGAAAATTTTTTCCAAAAAAACTCGTTGTCAAGTATCATACACATGATTAGATTCGTTTTTATTTTCTATTTATTCGTCCGGATTATTGAAAATATAATTCGGAAATGACGATAATTAATTTTATCAATCAATCAATCAATATTTCGATAAATTTGACCAATCAATATTTGTCAAATTGAAAAAAATCACATGTCATTCGAATGGATTTAAATTTGATTTGAATTATCATCAAAAATTAAAAAATAAAACAACGACAATAAATTAATGATGAGGATAGCCCAATAGAAAAAAGAAATGCTTTTTGTTGTTATTGTCACTTATTTTTCCAGATTTACATTAGACACATTTGACAACGAAAATTGCTTTCAAAACAATGTTGATAAGATTTCTGGGTTTAAACATTGCAATTTTCATTGATGATAATCACTATTATATATGGATTTATCATATGATTCATTCTTTCGTCAGAAAAAATACCCAAACGTTTTTTTTTTGTTGACAACGATGAATCTCACGAGGAAAATCCAAATCCAACCGGTTGTTTCTTGTATGCATTTTTTGTGATTAGTTCAAAAAAATGAATCCAAATTCGAAATTTTAATCGAAATATTATTTTGATTATTGGAAACAATAAATTCTTTCATGTTTTTTTCTGTTCAAAACAAAATGGATTCAAATAAATTAGACATTGAACTTTGATGGAGAAAAACTCGTCTCGTCATGAAAAAATAATTATCATTATACATTATCGGAAATAGTTTTTTTTTTTGTTAAATTGTCATTTGATAGAACGAAATTTGTCCATCATTTTAAAAATAAATCAGTTAAAAATTCTTGGAGAATATTCCACTTGAATAGATCAAATTGATGTTATCCTAAAAATTGTCCAGAGAGGTATCCAACCTATTCTATATCCTGTGCATTTGTGTGTGTGTTTTTTCCCTCACACACACACACTTATTGTTTCTATTTCTTGTGTTATCATAGTTATTATGATTGATTTATTTTTAGCAACATCAGGATGGGTTTGTGATGATGATAATAATAATAATAATAATCATCATTATCATTGAAATAATGATATAGAGGATATGTTGTTTTCTATTTTCTATTTTTTTTTTTTTAAATCAAATCTAATGGTAGCTGTATAGTAGATATATACACTTTATATATCGAAACAAACAAACACAGAGACAGACAGACAAAAATATTAACTATTAGATTGCCAATAATATCTAAACGATGATTTTAATAATTATTAGAAGAATAATTTCCAAGCTATTCAAGTGTTAAATAAAAATTCTCAGATATAAACATACAATAAATTTCACTATGGCAATGATGATGATGATGATTATAACAAGTGTAATATAAAATGAAAATAGTGAAACTCAACGAATGAGGATTGAATCCACAAATAGTAATTGAAAATCTTTAAAAGAGAAAGATAATCAAGCAATAATGTTTAGTGTATTTTTTTTTAAATGGAAACACGCGCAAATAAGTATCTGTATTTCACGTACCATCATCATTTGCCACCACCACCATCATATCACCGCGAATATTAACCACTTCCTTTGGGTTTTTTTCTTCTTGTGGTTGATGATAATGATGATAATCATTATCGTCGATGTTATTTATTATTATTATTTGTTGTTGTTGTTGTTGTTTGAATGGTTATAGTTAAAATGGATTTACCATTATAATTTTTTTTATTTTCTTTTTTTCATTCGAATGAAAATCTATGATGATTTGGTCTTTACAAAAAAGGGGAAAAAATTTAATCATCAATTCTTTCAAATAATTATTTGTTTGTTTTTCGATTCTGTTGTGTTATGTCAAAAAAAATGCTATTCAGAATCGGATTATTGTTTTTTTTCGTTTTTTAAATTTTCAACAAATTATGTGTTTGTGTTGATAAACAATTTTTAATTTTGAATTCCATGAATTGAAATGAATTTTTTCATAATTTGTATGTGATGTGTTTTTTTTCAAAAATGAATTGTTATTGTTACCTCACACATGAATAAACTTTTCATCTTTTCCGTTTTATGGAATATAAACGATATTCATTCGACCAATAATTTATTGAATACTGCAACTATGTATTCGAAATACAAATATTTTGATACATACATTCCAATCATCTTTTTTTAATATGATTTCAAAACATTTCAACATTAAAATATTCTTAACGCTGTCAAAGTTTAAGCACCACTATCATCAAAATTATCAGTAATTTTTCTCGTTTTTTTTGGTTAAATCATTATCAATATATCCATACAGAAAGAATTATTGTCGTCACAAATCAAAGCTATCGTTGTCGTTATCGTCGTTGTCGTCGTCGTCGAAAGCACTAAACAACAGGAATGTTTATGCCAGGTGTGTGTGTGTGTGTATGATTGTGTAAATCAAAGAAAAAAGGAAAGAAATTCTTTTTTTATTTGTTTGCTTGTTAAAAGTCACGTCGTCAATGTTTATTTGATGTTTATCCATCATTTTATTATGATGTGTTGTACATTTTGAATGTAATTCCAATAAATCATGAACATAAAATAAAGATCTGATTTTTTTTCTCGTTCATATCAATGTTTAATTCAGGCATGTGTGACAAATTTGTTGACCAAATCAAATATTGAAAAATTTTGCTAAAATTTTTGAATTTTATTTCCATTTACAAATGGAAATTAATTTTAATGATTCAATTGTTTTTTTAGATCATTCAAACAAATGTATATATGGTGTATGTAATATGTTTGAAAATAATAAAAAAATACTGAACAAAAGTAATAGTTGTTATTATCGTCATCAATTTATGAATTACAGATGCGGAAAGAGAAAAAATAAAGAGAAAACAACATTTTTAAATAATTTGACTAATCAATAAGGAAATTTTCACTGTCATTGCCAATGTATAATGTATTTAACGATGGATTTATTAAAAAAAAAAAAATAATCTTTAATTCTCAAAATTACGTCATTCTCGTGTTTGTTCGTCTGTGAATCTTGAAAAATGATGATGTTTTTTTACACTATTGTTGAAGCAGACAACATATCGCATTCGATTTTTTACTAGAATATTCGATTAACGATAAAAAATTTGATTGGATTTTTTTTCAAATTTGCCATTAGGATAACAATAAATAATTGAATAATAATTTTTCCGATGACAATTATTGAATTTTGTTATTGTAGTTGAAAAAAGTTTTTGATCATTTATTGATTATTATTTTGCTGATCAAATCTTAAATTAAAATTTTTAATAAATTTTATTTTTTGCTATTCATCATTTTTTTAGGATTATTCAATTATCACCAAATTAAAAACTAAATGAAGAAAAAATCTATCAATTTTTGATCGTCTACCTCGCTGTCCAAAAAAAAAACAAAAACAAAGTCACAATTAATATCAAACAACAAAATAGTGTTTGTTTATGTAAAAAGTTAACGAAAAAAAAATTCTGATTTCAATTGATTGAATCAAATGTCATCTGCTCTAACATCGGCCTCTATAACACCATCATCAATTGGTCAATGTACGATTGGGACCGACATTGTGGTTTCAGCACCAGCAACAACAAAAACCAATGTTACTAATTCTATCAATAACAGTGGTCAAACGACAAACAATTTAATTATTCATGATAATTATCCATCATCACGATCAACAAATGCTCATCAGTCAGTAATTCATGAAACAAAATCATTATCAACAGCAACAATGGCTAGTGCATTGAATCTGGCCCAAGTAGCTACCACAACAGCACCCGTTGTAGCAATGGTAACCAATGGTGGCAGCGGAAATGTTGATTCGTCAATGTCTAATCCATCATCAACATCATCATCATCAACCTCCGCGGTTGCTACCGCAGCAACAACCACAATGATTGGACAGCCACCAAATCAATTGACATTACAACAATTTAAACAACAATTGATTGAATTAAAACAACAACAACATCTTCAACAACAGTTGTTATTGCAACATTTTCAACAACAACAACAACAATTGAATGAACATCATGAAAAACAATTACAGGAACATATTCGAGTAAGTAATCATTCAATAAATGAATGCCAAACTGATCTGATAAGTATGAAAATTATTATTATCATTATTCAAACAAAATTCTTTATCTATTTAGGAATATATTGAAAAACAGAAGATTGAAAGAGAAAAATCTGAACAACAACAAGCTGCGGCGGCAGCAGCAGCAGCAGCCGCTGCACAAGCTCGTGTTGAACAACAATTAGAACGTGATCGACAACAACAAGAAAAAGAACGTCTGGAAAAAGAATTGTACAAATTGAAGAAAAAAGATGGACCATCAGCCAGTGCATCAATCGAAGTAAAACAACGTCTACAGGAATTTGTATTAGCTAAAAAACAACGTGAAGCAGCCGCTGCAGCAGCAGCAGCTGCTGCTGCCGCTTCAGGTGGAAATAATTCCGCTGTTACATCATCATCGGGTTCAACGGGTGTTGGTACGCCTTCACCACCAACACCATCATCAACAACATCATCATCACGTATTTTACCATGGCATACAACATTAGGCAAATATGATAATGATTTTCCTCTGCGTAAAACCGGTACGTTATTTCATTTATTTTAAGGTTCTTATTCATGAATAATTATTTGATGAATTTGATTGATTTTGACATTTATGCCATATATCTAATCGATCAAAATTGATTACAAAAATTATGATGGTTATAAACTAACTGTTGTCTATATCTATCTATTTTACTTTTCATTGATTATTCATTCATCTATTCATCATCAATCATGTATTGTTGATCGCATGTGGTCGCCCATCCTCCTACTCAATTTTATCGCTTCCTGTTGCTCTGTCCGAATGTTCACTAAATGCTGTTGCTAAAAAAACAATCCCTGAACAATGGCTTAATCCTGTTCCAAATAAATTGAAACCAATGCAAATATGAATCAATAATTGATGATAACAATAATAACAATAATTGTGTGTGTAGCATCCGAACCTAATCTAAAAGTACGATCTGCACTAAAAGCTAAAGTGATACAACGTCGTAGTTCACCATTGCTTCGTCGTAAGGACAAACCATCACCGCTTAAACGTCGCACCATGTCAAGTAAGATATTATTATTCTAATATAATCAATCAATCAATTTAATTGATAAGCTTAGATGAACATTATCGATTCTTTACATTATAATTCTAATTTAATAATTCCTGTTTTATGGTTTATGATCTGTTTTTTAAATTAGATGATGTATCCAATGGCATTCCAGAAAATTCTTGTTCACCACCAAGTGGTGGTGTACTTAGTCATCAATCGAGCTTTGGTTCCGGTGGTTCAGGATCAACACCAATACAGGAGGTTGGTACATTTTATTTCAACTCAAAAATATCCAAATTTTTTAGAAGATAGACTCATAGAATTCGACATCTCTTGCCAACTTTGATACAGAAAAAAATTCACTACACAGAAAAAAATAGTAATCAAAATCTTCAAAAGAATAATTATTTTTTTGAATAATGACCTTGAAATGAAGATGTAAGATTATTCTTTTAGAACATCTTGAATGAAATTAGATTACATACACACATTTACATCAGAAAAATAAATGAATGGTTATCATTTTTCATGAACACAAAAAAATTACATCAAAAAGAATAAAGTTTATTAAATGTTGCACACCACAGAAATTCAAAACAAAGCAACAAAAACAAATGAAACAAGAATTATTTAAAACAAAGAATATTCTATCTATAATAAAGAGAGAAAGAAAGATAAAACAAACAGACCTTAGGTTATCATTATAAATTAGTTTAATAATAGAATTATTATTAGATGAAATATGTTTCAAATGAATGAATGAATGAATGAATGAATGACGACAACGATAATGATGTAATGATTAAAAGAGAAGAAAAACGCCATAATAAATACACAGTTTGAATTGTTTTCAATAACAACAACAACAAAAATCGGTTATGAAGTTATTTTTAGCCACAATTTCAATTCGCTGAGTATAGCTTTGAATTGAATGATAATTGTTGATTTTGTACCGTTTTAATTCATTTCGTATATGATAATCATTTCAATGTTTAAGGCTAAATCAATTCAATCTATTTGACTGATTGAATAAATAAAGTTACAAAAATAGAAATTTTCAAAAAACCGATGACGACAAATATCAAAATTTGAAGGAAAATTCTCATTATTGCATAAAATTATTTATAGTTAACAATATTGATATTGTAATGAATTTTGTTTATTTGATCGTTTTTTTTCTTGTTTTGTCAAATTTTTGTACAATAAAAAACAGGAATCAAGTCAATCACCATTCAATGGGATGGCACAAAATTCTTCTGCATGCGATCTAGCATTATATTCATCACCATCATTGCCAAATATTTCCCTTGGTCGACCACATCATGTACCATCAACAAATACAACATCGGTCATAACAGTACGGATTTTTGTTTTTTATTTGAATTATTTTAATTGAAAATTTTTGTTTTTTTCTACAGTATCCATCGGATATCAAACCGACGGTATCGAATATGAGCGAATTACAAATGAGAGCATTACGTCTTGGTATGCCATTAGCTGCAGCTGCAGCAGTAGCAGCAGCAGCGGCTGCTTCATCTCAAACATCCGCATCTATCCATTCCTCCCATACACCATTTTTTCCATCATTACCAGGTATATTATCGATTATTTTGATGTTGTCCAAATCATTAAAAAAACTATTTTTCGTTTATTTAGTCATTGAAGGCGATTTCACTCCACCATCCAGTCCAAATAATCTTCAAAAACAATTGAAATTGTTGGAAGAAACAGCAGCTAGAACGACCACTGTAAACCCAAATTCATTATCGAACAACCACAATAATAATTCGGCTAATGGTCATTCTACATCCCAATCACCTATTCAATCATCATCAACGATAACAAATTCATCATCATCATCATTAAATCAGGCATTCTCACCGGCGGCTGCATTAGCTAATTCGGCTGCAATGTATTCATATGCAACAGCAGCCGCAGCTGTAGGCATTCCAGTATCAGATAATATGGCTGCTGCTTCCGCTGCTGCTGCTGCCCTTTCATCCATCTATCATCAACGATTATCATCGACCAATAATAATAACATTAGTAGTACCTATTCTATAACGGCTGGTGGCCCAATACGACCAACTGCGGCATTACATGCTGCTCGTATAGTACAACGACCATTAGGCCGGACGCAAAGTGCACCATTACCATTGGGTCATCCTGCATTATTACCTGGTGGGTCATCTAGCTCAAGTCAATCATCAATGAAACAACCACAAACAACCTCTAGTCTGGTTAAACAACATATACGTAATGCCGTATTAACAAGAGCGTCCAGTAAAGGACAAATGGTCGAAAATGTTGAAGAAGAAACGGAAGCAGCAGTTGCGGCCGAAGAGTTGATGCATGAAAATGATCAATCTAATCAAACACTGAAGAAAACCAAAGGTAATCCCGAAGACATATCCGATCAAGTTATTGATCTGACTAAGAAAAGATCGGCTAATGAAGAAGAATCATCATCATCAACTAGTCCAAACACAACAAATATCATCAATTCAAATACAGCTGCCGATATGATGTTTCCGACGCATATGTCACCATTTCGTTTAACATCAACAACCAGTGCAAGTAATATTCAACAAGCCATACAAAATCAGCAAATTCAGCAACAACAACTTCAACAACAACAACAATATTATTTCCCATTTTTAGGTGTTACAAATACAGCATCCATATTACCAACAACACCATTGGCTACCTATCCATTTATTGATCCCACATGGGCAGCATTCTATCAAAGAGCTGGTGTTACCGGTGGTAATTATTTACCAACGACTGCTGGTAATAGTGCATTCCGTTCACCTTTATTATCTGCTGGTAGTTCATCGTCAACAACGCCATCAACAGCAGCTCAATTATTAATGCATCATCATACACCGAATAGTCATTATCCTTCACATTTTCTACATAATCATCATCATCATCATAATCAGCCAACAAATCCTGGTCGACCATTATCGCGCACATTATCTAGTCCACAAGTGATGCTTAGTCACAATAATAATCATAACAATAGTGGTCACAATACCTCACCTGAAAGTCCAGCAACGGGAACAACTAGTCCAGATCTTATAAATAATTATCAACAGCAACAACAACAGCTGCCACCACCAAATGGAAGTTATCGTTTTACAACCGCATTAGTTTATGATAGTTTTATGCAAAAACATCAATGTAATTGTAATGACACATTTCAACATCCGGAACATGGTGGTCGACTACAAAGTATATGGGCCCGTATTACTGAAACTGGATTAGCTGGTCGTTGTGAGGTACTAATCATTTCACAAAAATAAAGATTATTAATGATTTTTTATCAATTCATTTCACATATTAAACAGCGTCTTCGATCTCGTAAGGCTACTTTGGATGAAATACAAACTTGCCATAGTGAAGCTTATACATTATTATTTGGATCCTCATTACATAATCGACATAAAATTGATCCAAATAAATTAGGTAAATATTGAATATAGTGAGGATATTGACCTTTTTTAATCGCATTTTTCCTATGAATAAAGCTGATTTGCCCATCAAATCTTTAGTCATGCTACCATGCGGTGGAATTGGTGTTGATTCTGATACAACATGGAATGAAATACATACAGCCGGTGCTGCTCGTATGGCTGCCGGTTGTGTTATTGAATTGGCCACTCGCGTGGCATTGAAAGAAGTCAAAGTATGTTTCTTATAATCAATATTGTATATTTTTTTTTATTAATTTTTAATTTTATTATGAATAGAATGGTTTTGCTATTGTTCGCCCACCAGGTAGCCATGCTGAATATCAGCAACCAATGGGATTCTGTTTTTTTAATTCTTTGGCCATTGCTACCAAAATTATTCAACAAAAATTGAATTTAAAACGGATACTAGTTGTCGATTGGGATGTACATCATGGTAATGGGCTTCAACAATCTTTCTACGATGATCCTGGCGTTTTATACATTTCATTGCATCGTCATGATGAAGGTAATTTTTTCCCCGGTACTGGTAATTTAAATGAAATCGGTATCGGCCCGGGTGTCGGTTTTAATGTGAATATTGGATTCAACGGTGCGTTGAATCCACCGATGGGTGATGCTGAATATGTTGCAGCATTTCGTACAATCGTTATGCCTATCGCTCGTCAATATGATCCAGAAATAGTTCTAGTCGCTTGCGGATTTGATGCTGCACGTGGACATCCAGCACCATTAGGTGGTTATCTTGTTTCACCTGCATGTTTTTCCTATATGACTCAGCAATTGTTGACACTGGCCAATGGCCAAGTGGTTATGGCGCTTGAAGGAGGGTATGTTTACATGACAATACGAACCATAATGAATTTATTTTAATCATTGAACATAATCTGTAGATACGAACTGACAGCTATTTGCGATTGTGCTCAAGCTTGTGTATCAGCATTGCTTGGTGATCAGGTGACAGCCATTTCTGAAGAAGAAGTTACACGTAAACCAACACCAATTGCTGTTGATCTTTTGAATCGGGTAATACAGATTCAATGTAAGTAAATACATCAAATTGTTTCATCTCAATTAACAGCAATATCTTTTATTTTATCGAAAACTCATCATTACAGCACAACATTGGTCAAATCTACGACGATATGCACATTTGGTCAATTGTGATGCATTAGAAGCACAACGTAAAGAGATTGAAGAATGTGAAACAGTCTCGGCAATGGCTTCATTGACTATGACACATGTACAAAGGTTTGATTTTTATGACAGAATTCGATTGTCAGACTAACCATGTTTGTTTTCATAAAATTCAGTCCCGAATCAGTAACCGAACAAACAGAAATCATGTTGGATGAACCAATGGACGAAGATAGTGGTGGTAATAGTGGTAACGGAAAATAAATAATAAATCAACCAAAAAAAGAAACCTAAAACAACCCGTAATAACCAAATCTCATTATTCGAAAAACTTTTTATAAACAAACAAACAAACACAAAACTGACGAAAAATTCATTTCATCTCCCAATTTTTCTCCTTTTTGGCTTTCTTTTTGATATAAATCTTACGTCTATACTTATATATTTTATTTTGAAAAGAGAAAACTACAGAAAAAAATCGTCAACTTTTCATCCAAACAAATCAACCAAACAGAATTCTCACTGCAAACATTTCATCATTTTAATATTAATTTTCTCTTTTATCGTTCGTCGATAATGTTATATGAGGAAAAATTTGAAAAATTCTTTTTGGAAAGAAGATTTTAATTTTGGGATAAAAAACTTACAACACAAATTCACTCTATATACTTCTTTTTTTAAAAAATCTATATATATTTGCGATGAAAAATGAAGAACAAATCTTTGTTGTTCCTTTTTCATCACCACCATTTTTGTTATTTTCCGGTCCTGTAAACAGAATTTAATGGAAAAAATTCCAAACTCTGTTGTTATTTCTTTCTAATTTCCTTTGATTGCCTCGTTGCTTTTTGTCCCAAAATCATGATAATTTCTACAACGATGTTGTTTTCACCAAATATGAATGAATGAATCCACCGATCAATGGATTATGGATTTTTTTTTGTTAATCAATTCTGTTATTAATATCAATTGCTATGGCCAGTTTATGTTTGATCATAGCCATCATCATTGTCGTTATTGTTTATGTTATAATTGAATTAATTAATTGATTGATAAGATAAATAACAGTTTATTATATTTATGTTATAAATATATATTGAATGTATACCAAACAACGCTAACACATTAAAATATGGAATTTCTTATGTTATTTTCTACAAAAAAAAACAACAACACCAACAATCTTTGAAACACAAACTGATCATCAATTTGTTAAAACTATTGACTATCTTTCTCAGTTATCATCATCATTATCATTATTATTTTTGTTTTATTCATTCGATGACAAAACAAAACAATTTATTTGTCGAATTTTTTTTTCTTTACTTTTTTTCGCCCAATTTTATTCCTTTTGTTTGTTGATGAATATTTATATTATTACAAATTATACAAATGATTTATCAAGTGTTTTACATTCATGGATAAACAAACAAACAAAAATTATTGATACCAAAACATAGTCAATGGCTATATGTTGATTTAACATTTTGTTGTTTTTTTTTTGAAATCCCTTTCTATTGTTTTTATTTTGGTCTTGATTGTTATTATTTAATTAAATCATTACCCGGCCCCCACATCGTGATTTATTCCTCCATTTTCAATTTTAAATAAATAAAAAAATAATAATTACATCCGATCATAACTAAGATGGCGCTGTTTTTTTTCGGGAAAATTTTTTTATCGTCAAAATCAAAGATATGGCTAAAGAATATTAAAAATGATAGACAAATTATGCGTCTGCGTTTAAAAATGGTAATTTTTTCTTTTATCTACATAGAGAATACACATTATTCTGGCTGATCTTGTCGATGGACAAATAAACGATGAACACCAGAAAAAACAACATGATTATGGAGTTTTTTTGTTGTTGGATCACTCTATTTGAAAAAGATTCCATAAAATACACATGCACAAACACATCATCGTTTCAGTTAAAAAAAATTGTATTCGGAATAAGATTCGCGCTATATAACAATCAACATTTTTAAAATAACGGAACAGAACCAACTGGTTGTCTTCGTTGTCGCATGAAATGCACAAACTTTGAACGAAACAGGAAAAACATCAAAGTTAGTTGGTTTTGAATCTTGGTAAGCTAAACATTGTTGTTGTTGTTGTCGTCGTCATCATTATTCCGAAACATGTTTTAAACTTCTGTGCATGTTCTTTCAATGGCCCGAATTTGTTGAATCTTTTCTTTGTGTGAATGTGAATGTAGAATTTTTTTGTTGAAAATCGTTATCTTTTTCAATTCAACGCACAAACATCCAAAAACAAAACATTCATTTTAGTTATAAAAATTCTTTGAAATCCAATTAATCAAATGCTTACATTCTCTCTCATGCACACACTTAAAGAAATACAAAGAAACAAGCAAAATTTGAAAATTATTGAAATTTTATGCGATGTTTGCCATTATCAAAAAAAAAGTTTACAAGTAGAACAATTTAATTGGTAAGTGTAATTTATTTGACTTACTTTTGTTGTCATTTTCAACAAAATTATTTATCAACATAGAAATATTTTATCCAAAATTCAAATATTTTTCAAAAAGCTTTTGCGAAATGAATAAAATAAAAAATTAATGTGCTTTAAATTTTTTTTTTGCATAATCTGCTGATTGTGTTGATCGCTGTATTGCTGTTCTACAATAACGGGAAAAAACTAAAAAATTCTCCTGTTTTTTCTAGCAAAAAATTCTACAATCCATCGTTTTTTCGGCGTATACAAATAAATTTTTATGAGTGGAGAAAAATTTAAAATTAAAATGCATGAATGTGTTCTATTCAATTTTCTGATGATGATGTCGATGATAATGGTTGTTGTCATCCATTTTTTCGATAGGCAATTTTTCTTTGTTTAATTTATTTTTTTCACCTAGTTCATTTACAATATTTGGAATTTGACATCAATTTTTATTTGTATGTTGTTGTTTTTTTTTTGACCAGGAAAAATGGCTAACAGGAGAATTCTTGAAAACAAATTTTTGTTATCCATTTGTGTTGTCTTTTTCCATTTTTTTCAGATATTTTTCATATAAGAATATAGCTAAATCATGAAAAGAGAAAAAATAAATATATGTGTTGAATTTTTATCCTTAATGGAATATTAATTAATTAATTCTACTGGGATAATCATTATTTATTAGGTTGAATAAATGAAAACAATAAAAGAAACGAGAAAAAATTCCAAACCAACTACGCAACAACATTAACAAAAATGTCAATGGTTTTTATCCATAAACATAAATCAAACAATAGTTTTTATATTGTGAAAACAATATTAATTAAAATCACCATCATTATAATTATAATGAATAGATGATTAATCAATGGATTGATTAATCAACAGAAAAATCAAGTGCATTTCGTAAATTTTGTTTTATTTTTCTCTCTGGTTCAGTTGTTAAATTGTTAATGAGTATATTGCGAATCAGATTTTTAATAGAAAACAACTGTATTCTTTTATTCAAGATCAGATTCCATTTTAATCATTATGAAAATATTAGTTTTCAATGACAATTAATTTATATTTTTTTTTGGACAAAAAATGAAAATTGAAAAGCTAGAAAATTTGCATAGATCTGCTCTGGGTTACATTTTAATTACCATCATTTTTCATTAACATTGAGTTTGGAATATTATTTTACATTCGATAATGATGGTATCAAAATGAAATAATTAACGATGATCTAAAATTGATTAATAGAGTTAGAATTCTAAAAATTGGAATGATTTGAATGATGAAAATATTTTTTATATTTGTATGCATTGTATTTGATCAAAACATTATTCTGCAACAACGTGACGATTGTGTATCGTGTTTGTTTGTTATTTGTTATCTGTAAAACAATTCTATCATAAGTTTCGAACATAACCATTTAGCAACACAATCAGAATTATTTTGGAAATAAATCGGTTTTTTTTATTGAAAATCTTTGTTTGAAAAACTCTACACCAGTAGAATTCAAATAAATTGGACAAATAAATTTTTCCATCCATTTCTAATCATTTTTATTTCTAGTATGAAACAACAATCAAAACAAAACAACTAGATACTGAAGAGAGAAAGAAAAAGTGAATGAAAAAAAAACTTGCTGATGATTGCCATTTTGTGATTTCAGGTACGGTTATAATCGTCAATAATAACAATAAACATCATCATCGACTATCAAAAAATTTATTTCAACTACAAATTACTGTTGTAAACAAAATGAAACGGAACTAATGTTGTTGTCGTTTTAGTTATTATTAACTTTACCATTGAATTATAAGGAAATATAGTTAATAAGGAAGCGGTATTTCAATCGAATTCTGACTTTTTTATTTCACTTATTTCGAGTACTTTTTTGTCCTTTTATTTCAACTCACTTCTTAATCTTCAATACATTTTTTTCAACAACATTTTGTTCATTAAATCGTTTTTGATTGTTACAGAACATGTAAAATAAAAATCAAATGAAATCAGGCGAATTTTGAAAAAATACGTGAGAATTCGACAATTTGTTTCTTTTTTTGTAATGTAACAAAACTGAAAATAAAAGAATTAGATATAAGAAAACAACAAGATTGAGTCCGATATTTAATTTCTGATTTTCTTTCTACTGAATCTGTTCAATTTGTCGAACATAGTTTGAAAACAAGAAAATAGACAACAAATGTCAATTATAATTCATCATCATCATAATCATGATTACAATCGAAATTGACAAAATGATGTTGGTAATTGAAATCAAAGAAAAAAAGTTTTTTTTTGGAAAAATTTCATTGTTTCTTTACTTTTTCTTCAACAAAAAGTTTAATATGGTCATCATCATCGACAACAACAATGATAATAATAATACCAGTATAACAATAAAACTTCCCATAAACATAATATTGAAGTTCTTAAAATTCTGGACAATAGCTTATTTTATAATAATGGTAATAATCGGATGCAAAACTATTTCGAAATACCAAAAATGAATCGAATTTGATATGTTCAATTAAACTTCGTAGAATGTTTCCATCATCATCATCATTATTATGATTTTAGCCAGGATTCTTTCTTTATTGTATATTATTAGAGTTTATTATATTAGCCAAAATTCGGGCCAGTTGAGTAAAATTCAGATTAGATTTTGATTCAACTTTATTATTCTGTTGGAAAAAATGGAAAATTGCACACGGTCAAAGGAAACGAAATGGAATGGAATCATCATCTAAATTGCTATTTTTGATTCTAAAAAAGCAAATGTTTTTTGTTCATTTTTTTGCTGTAAAAAATGTGATGATGATGAATTTATGAAAATGGCATTTTTTGACAAGATATAAAATGTGGGTAATGATGTGTTTTAAGTTAAAAAAATGTATTAAAATTAATGAGAAATTCAATCAAATCTGAATTCGTATATATTATTTATCTGAATGAATAATAGATTTTCGTTGTATAACAAAAAGCCTAAGGCAGCAAAGTATGGCTGTCCCATACAAAAATCCAAACGGGAAATATTACAGGTACCAAAAAAACAAACAAATCAAATTAAATCTAATCTATGATTCATGAACAATATGCGTTAATCTTTACGTATCAATCAAGTATGATCATAGATGTGTAGGATGAATGAAAATGAAAATGTTTTTTTAAAAAAGATTTCCTTTGGGGTTATAGTATTTTTTCTTTTGGATTTCATTACGATTTATCGCTATTTTTCTTCTCTTCACAAATTTTTCATCATTATTATCTAAAGAGAAGTGAGAATTTGAATTATAATACCATATCTGACATTTTCAAATCTAAACATCCTTTTTATCATCAAAATAAAAAAGTCGACCATTTTTATGTTTGACAAATAACATTCGCATTTTTAACATTTGACTACGACAAAAAAAATGAATGAAAAATGACATTTTCAATGAATTTTCTTATGCTCACTAATTCTGTTCGTTTTTTATATATTCAATTTTCATTGAAAAAAATTTCTTTTTTTTGAAGATGTTTTCGACCAAAATGAAAAGAAGAAACAAAAATCCATACTAATGATCGTATCAATCTGAATTGAATTTGGAGATAAGAATTTTTATATTTTTTCAACCATTGAATATTTTATTTTGAATTCTATCTTAATCATCATTATAAAAATGAATGATGATAATCGTTGAAAATAATTTGACAAAATTAAAGATTTTTTTTCACTCATTCTGCTTCAATGATTATCATCAGAAAAAAATGATTATGTACATTAAACAGATTCCACTAAATGCAAACAAAACATTTACAAATGCCAATTTTAAGCTTATGAACGAATGACAAAATAAAAGAAAGAGAAAAAAGAATTCCGATAGATTTCACATGACTAACGAATTATTTAAACATAATTGAGAATGGTAAGAAAAAAAATATTTACATAATAAATACGAAAACATTTTCCATTTATTTTTTAATTTGATTGACTTAAATCATATTCTATCAATATCGTACATTTTCCTTTTTCTCTTGAGTATTAGAAATTTAATTCATCTCTTAAGAATTCTTTAAAGAACACAATATTTGATTAGTCTATGTAGTATTTATATCAAATCAATGAACAATTTCATAAATTAAGAAAAGAGTGGACGACAACAACACCTACGCAGATCAATTAAAAAAAATTTAAAAGCGCACATCCATTTTACACATTCGTACAGTTGCACCAAACAATTCAATAAGAAATTCATTTGATTTCTAATATCTATATTTTCCAACTACTTTCAGATGATTAGACAATTAAATCAAATTGGCGTATTTGAATAAAACAAAAACCAAATTATAAAAAGAGTAGTAATGGCTAAACACTATTATCAATATCTTCATTTGATGATTTATTCATTAACTTGATTTGAAATATAACAATTCTCATAAAAAGAAAATATAAATTAAGTAAATTGTTGATATACATTCAAGTTGTGATTTAGTTTGTCATTCTGATTGGCTAATGATAATGATAGTAATTAAAATGACCATATTGAGAAGCAGAACATAAAACAATCGATATAGACAAAAAACTGACAAAATGAAATAGTTTGATATCTCACATTATGACTATAGTAATAAAAAAAAGATTTAAAAATAAATTCTTGTCAAAATAAATATCTTTTATTTCAGCATTATTAAACAATAGACAATGATTATTATTATCTTGAGAATTCTTTTCAAAAAGATAAATAAATGTAATTATTCATCAATTAAAACATGTGTTTATTATCTTTTACGTTGATGTTGCAACAACCATCAAAATAGCAAAGTAAATCGATTCATTATCGATTATATTTAAGATCAAATCAATCCGACCAACATATTACTAATAATGTTAGATAGAGTATAGACAGCACAAAAAAACGAGACAAAAATAATTCGAATCAATAGCATCGGAAGATTGTTTTCTCAATGGAATCAAGATTGGTTCGAATCAAAATTCTTGGAAAGTATCGTAGTTTTTTATTTATTTATACGATTATATAAAGTCAATTCAGTGCAATAATAAATGAATGTGCATCCCTTTGTCATGAATTTCGAAATTTGTAGTTTTTTATTTCACAATCAAAGTTTCACAAATTGATTTAATAAGTTTGCTTGAACACTAGAGTAGAAAATAGAACCATGTGTTTTTTAAATGCTGAAAAACAACAGAATAAAATGAAACAATGGAAAGGTCAAAGTTTGTAAGTGTGCGTGTGTGATTGACACGGATTGATTCATGATGTTTTTTTTTCATTTTTTAATTATAGTGAACAAATAGCCTAACATTAGTTATAATAAAGTCTTTTTTGAAAAAACAATTTATTGGATTACGCAAAATAAAAGCATTAAAAATTCATACAGGAACTATTGATTGAAAGCTTGAAATTAATGATGAAATATGTCGTTAGCATACAAATTACATATACAAATTTTGGCCATTCACGAACATACATCCGATATTTTCAAAATAAAAACAATAATAAATACGTTTCTTCCGCATTATACAAAAAAAAGACTGAAAATTTCCCCTTGGTCAATTCATTAGAATAGTATCCGGTCTTTCATTTGATCATATATAAAAAAGTGAGCTTCACTGCCGTAAATCCTTTTCTCTTTTTTTCTTTGCATTTGATATGATGGATGAATCAATCGAATCGATAACGGTATAATTTTGCAAGCAAAAAAATTGAGGTCATGAAACTCGACGAAAAAAATCGATGAAAGCAGAAATGACCAATAAATTATGACGAAAACTTTCGAACATTGAAAGAATTGGGTTTCACGAATTTAGATTTTCAAATTCGGTCGAAAACAAACAAGTGCCAAAAAATTTTCAATTTTCGATAATGACGTTTTTTCGATCAGTTAATGTACTTTTGTAACAAATTTTTCATTTCATTTCAATTCAATTTAATTTAATTTAATTTTTTTCAATCGACAAAATGAGTATTTTTTTATAAACAATATTTTGCTTTGGTTATTTCAAGTTTTGAGTAACTTTGAATGTTGAAATTTTTTTCAAACAACCACAACAAAGATTGATGGATGGAAGACTAAATTGTAATTAGATTTTTTCTCTTCTCACTTTTACATAAAATACTTTGAATTCAGTAAAAGGCTTCAACTATAAAATGTTTTTTGATTTTTTTTCGGATTGATATCGATAGTTTTTTATTCGTCAAGCAATTAATATATGGAAAATAGATGAATTTATATCTATTTTTTCAAATTAAGAGTGGATTTCAAATAAAAATTGTCAATAATTTCAACAGATTTGAGACCTACATATACAACTAGAATATTCCAAACGAATTGCATGAATGTGACTTACAATAAAAAAAACCAATTAATTTATTATGTCTTGGATGACTGCCAACTGAATTTTGTTTGTTATTACAATGATAATACCAAACGTGCAAAAACGTTAAAAAAAACAGACAAATCTATTGACAAAATTCAATCAACCTAAACTTTTTTATTATTTTTATTGTAAAATTGATTTATTTAAAAGAGATTGGTTATTTTAGATAAGAATAGAGAGATAGAGTAAGAGAAAAATAAAGCTAAAAATCCTTCAATTAAAATAATTCAATAGGATTTTAATTCCGTATTATTATGTGAAAAAAAGAATCAACTTTAATTCATTCAAACAAACAAACAAAAATCCTAATGGGGATTAATAATAAAATAAACAAGATTCAATAAACTAGAAAAGAATTTTTCCGATGTGTCAACAGCAAAGAATTTATTGTTTTTAGTAGAGAATTTTTTTGTTTTGTTTTATATTGCTTTGTTCACAAACCATTTGATGATCAATCAATATTATATCCTATCTGATTGAACAACTAGAATTTCATTAAATTATTTTGGACTTAAAAAAATTTAACAAAAACGAAATCCACACATTTCAACAATCAGTCGTTCCATTCTACAAACTAAAGAATTCAATTGTTATCAGTTCCATTTCAAATGAAAAATGGCCAAAAATTTCTACACAAATTCATTGTTGAAAGAATAATATAGAAATAATCTATAATATAGAAAAAAAGAGCGAGCGATACAAATATTCTATTATTTGGCTTTTAATCTAAATGAATAGAATTGAAAGTCCTCATAGATATCCACATAGTTTAAACAAAAAAAAATTGAAAAAAATGAATTATATTTTTTCATTGTTATGGTCATGTTTTTTGTATTTGTTCAATTTCATGTCCGTTTTTTGTTTGTTTGATGTACAATGTGTTATTTGAGTTTTTTGGCTATTCTCGTTAATTTATTATTTCTTTTTACCAGACAAAACGTGAACATGGCAAATATGATGGAATTATCAAACAATGCTGGTAATGATAAAACAACTTTATTTGATACAAATCAAATGTTTACAACTGAGCAACCGATAATTGATTCAAAAGAATTAAATATTTTTTCCAATAGAAATGATGAATATAATAATTCTACATCATCAAAAGCTTTATTACTTTCTCGTGCCATATGGTTAGCCTTAAAAAAAGAGAATATTTTTCTTGGTAACAATACCGAAACAATTGCTAATGATATAGCAACAACATTGTTAGAAGAAATAGCCGATGGCATTAATCAAACTTTTGTTAATCAAACTTCGTTATCAACAAAAGGAGATGATTTTCCATTACCAATAATAACAAGTAGAATTGCAGCCATAACAAACAAACAAACAACACAATCATCATCATCATCATCATCGACAACAGCTACAACTGAAGATGAAGATTTTTACCGTCATCTTATTACTGTTATTGCCTATTCCTTAATTATCATCGTTTCTTTATGTGGAAATTCATTAGTGCTCAAAATGATTTTAACAAAAAAGAAATTGCAAACAACAACAAATATTTTAATAGCATGGCTAGCTGTTTCGGATCTATTAACAACAACATTGAATATACCATTCAATGTTGCCCGTTTTATTTTCATGAATTATCCATTTCCATCACTATTCTGTAAATTAGTACCATTCATACAAGTAATGTGTGTTTATGTATCAACATTTACTATGGGTGTTATAGCTTTACATCGTTATATGACTGTAACAAGCGCTACATCTACAACCACTACACGTTCATCAATGGGTGGTTCCGGTGCTGGAACTAGTTCGTCAAATACAATATTCTATCATCCATTATTGTTACATGGTTCATTTTGTCTTTGTATTATAATGACTATCGTATGGTTTTTAGCCGGTTTATTAGCCACACCACATTCAATGTTTAATCAAATTGTTTATGTGCCTTATCAAAATCGTACATATATACGATGTCGAGCAGAATATCCACAAGTTGATTTTAATTTACGTTTAACGCTTTCGGTTGAAGCATTTCTCACACAATATCTGTAAGTATTATAAACAACAAATTATTTTTACTTCTATTTCAATAAAGATGTTTTTCATAGCTTCTAAATTAAATAATAATTAAACAAAAAATTATTACAAAATGACTAAGAATGGATTAAAATTTGATTGGTTTTTATCGGATGTTTTTGTTATTATTATTCAGAATCATTAAAATTCTAATGATTCAAAATGAGTATTACTTATCATGAAACATTAAATGAAATAAAAACGGAATTAAAAACGACGACTAGCCAAATATTTGTTTATTATGAAAACACAGTTAGACAATGGCGTAATCATTTATGGTTATTGAATAACACAAACTGTAAACAATGAATAAGCTGCAAAAAATAAACCAATGGTAAATAACAAAATTCTTGTTTTTTTCACATACTATAATAAGAGTAATGTTTGTTTGCATTTTCAATTCACAACTATCATTTTTTTCTACCTTTTGGCAAAAATAAGTCATATATGTAGTAAATTTTTTTCGACGAGTATATATTACAATTATTTTTATCAACAGCATTGAGTAAATAGTAAAAAATGAATTATTATAAGGCAGGTGTATTTGGGTGTGCTGACTACGCGAATAGAATTCTTAAGGATTAGTTTTGTTATGGTAGTCGAAAAAAATAATAACTTGTTCTCTTTTTTTGAATGTTTATAATACAAAAAAAACAACTGCCGTGGAAATAACAAATTCCAATTTTTCCAAGGCATTATTATTTTGTTAAGAAAAAAAATTGCAAAGACCACCAATTTGTTCTTGGTTCTAGGCATTAGCAACGCAAAAAAAATGATAGAAATTCTATGTTACTTTTTTTCACCATTCACGATTGTAATGATATAAAAATCTAAAATGATGAGAATCGTTAGTTGATTTTCATCATAACATTGCATTGATCGACAGTCAATTTTGATTTGATTCAAATAACAAGTAAAAACAATCAAAGTCTTTTTAGCAAGAATTTCTTTAGTTCATTCGATTTATGTTTGCTCTAATAATGAGAACAAAATAGGAAACTGAGAAAAATGTAATTTATTTTCTCTTATTTATCTATTATTGTTTTAATGAACGTTATTCTATTTTCAATTCAATCCATCATTATTTTCTCGTTTTTCCAATTCGAATAAACTTTAAATATAGAACAAAATGATTGTCAAAAAAAACAGCAATCCAAAAAACAATTTTGTTCGAATTATATAAATTCATTAAGCTGTGATTACCTTATCAAAATGCATACTAGGAAACAATGGTCTCTATGGATTAACAAATTGATCCGAAAAAAAGTCCTTTTATAATTATCTATTCTGTTAGAATGATGATGATTATTTCCAAAAAAATAAATCACAAAATCATCAACAATAATAACTGAAAAATTATCGTTGATTAAAACCAATGAAAAATGGAATAGATTCATGTCAGTTGGTAAAATAACAACGAATCATGTGACTATAAACCCTAATTCTGTTTTTTCCTTTCGAATAATCAAAATTATCTATTCCTTTTCCTTACAAACATATAAAGATAAAAAACAGCCTAATTTTTATTAGAAACATCCATATGAAAGTTATAATAAGATTCAAATTGTGAATGTAAGTTGATCGCATACCATTTTCAATGAAGACATTATTGGATCAACGTATTTGTTGTTACTGAACAAATGATATTAAGTTGAAGGGAAAAAACTTGCATCATATAAAGGGCATTATTATTATTATTATTATCATTTTCTTTTTTGGAATTGCAAAACTCTCACGTCAAGTCAATTTAATATTTTTTAGATTATATTTTTTTGGAGAATTTCACATTACGAATTGTTTGATCCAAAAGTTTTTTCTATCTAATTTTATTTCATTTCATTTCATTACATATGGAATAATCATACATTCACAAAAACCCGCACATACTTTTACCTTACGAGTGTGTGTATGTGTAGAAATAAACCAAAAAAAATTTGATTATGTAATCAAATTTTTTAGCTTTGATCCGGGTTCCGGTCGTTTATTTATTATGAATGAAACATTCATTCATTTGTTATTCAATGAAATTTTTCCATATTCTTTTTTTTCTAATTCGATTCAAAAATTGTTATTATTATGGTGATACAGAACGTACAAAAAAAACTTTGATTTTTTCGATAATTTTGTTCGATAAATTATCATTATCATAATATCATTATCATGGCTTTTAAAAATTTAAATTTTTGGGCCTTTTTTACATTATCATTCAAGAAAAAAATTGAATAATGTAGATGTAACATTTTTATGCATTCCTAAATTCTTTTCCTCGGAAAAAAATCATAAAACGTTCAAACATAAAATAACATGTACATACAATGGAAACAATCAAAATCAAATAGTGAAGAGAAATTGTTTTTGATGATACGAAAAGATTTTTTTCGATATCAAAAAAGACATGTCATTAAATCATACATAACAAAGCAAAGTTCAAACAGGAAAAAAGAAATTAGCAAAAAAAAAGTATTCAGGTTACCATCACTACTTGAAAATAACTATAATCACAATATAAAATTTTTTTCTCAATGACAATCGAATAATAATGATTTTGATAAATGACATAACCTACACAATATAATATTTCGTAATTCGTAATTGTATTTTCTCATCTTACATACCCTGTGGGACGGACAGGAAAATTGTATGTGATCGCATTATCTAATCATTATCATCATCATAATCATTTGATAATGATGATGATGATGATGATTTGAAAGAATAATATGAATGCGCGCGTGACATTCTTTTTCATTCCATATTAACACACAAATCATTATAGTCATCGTAAGAATTGCGGTTTCAGCGTTTTTTTTTTTTTGATTTGTCATTTTTAGTTTATGTTTCATTTCTCAAAAATCGATTGTTTTGATCGTATTTTTGTTTTTTTCTCTTTCCTGCTTCAAACATGAAATTGAATTCTATCACTTTTATTTTTCTAAAACAATATTTTTCTATGCAACTTTTGTTCGATTGTCAAAACGATACTTTATTTGATGACAATTTATTGTTACGATAGAATGCACATTTAGAATAAAATATCCTTGTGAAAGACAGGAAACAAAAATCCAAGTAAATTTCAATTATTCTTTTCAAATGCCTACATCTTGTACACAAAGATTTAGATATCAAAATTTTAAGGAAAAAGAAAATCCCAGGTGAAAAATTTCTGCGACATCGAATATAATCCAACTGACATAGCAAAAAAATATACTAAAGTTAACAGCAAAAAAAACATGAATGATATTTAGATTGAAAACAAAAAACAAAACTGAAAAATTGATAAATGATAGGATTCTGAATAATGGTGACATGGAAATAAATATTTTTGCAACAAAGATCATATGAATTTTTTTTTGAAAATTCAAATTTATAAATTCAACGAGTTGATTTTGATCAAAAAAACGAAAAAGAAAAATAACTAAAAATTATCATCTTCATCAACCATCAGAATCATCGAATTAGTTTATTTAGACTCATTCGTAAGCGAAAATCATTGATCTGACAATTTTCATTCATAAACAAATCAAATTTATGAATATCAACATTATTATTATGAACATAGATGACAAGTAATGACTTTATTAACAAAAAAATATACATTATTCATAAATGTACCATGTTATTATTATCATATTTTAGCTTGACAGAAAAGTAGAAGAATTTTTTTTCTCTCGAACGCCTTGATGATTGAAAATGATAGTGATGACATAGACAAAAACAAGATAAAATCAAAAACTATTATATCATACATTTATAAATGAACAAACAAACAAACAAACAAATAGAATAACTGAATAAGGGACAAATCATAACATTTACACATAATATTCTTACTTATAAATACATACATCATATGTATGGATTTTTCACAAAAAAAATGATATCGACAACAACAACATCGTCAACAGTGATATATATCTAAGTATAAATGAACAAACAAATTCGATTTCAAATACAATCTAAAAAGCCTAAAAACAACAAAAGACAAAAAAAGACAGTTTCAATATATGAAAAAACTATATATAAAGAAAAATAAACAAAACAAGCTTAGAATATAAAAATTCTATAGGACAAAGAATAATTCTCGAAAATAATGAATGAAAATATTGATTTTCTCGTATCCAAAGCTTTACAGGGGAAAAAATATAATATAACCCTTGTTGTGATTGGAGAGTAACTAAAAGTGTGTATTCAGTTCCAAAAATCGATCGATCCTTATTATCACGTCCTGCTTAGCAAGAAATGAACGAATCGTAAACAAGAATTGTTGAAATAAAAGGAAACCAAAATCTCATATGATAGGAAAAAAAACCAAACATCTACAATAAGGAACCGAAAATTCAATTTCCTTTTTATAACGATGATGATGATATGATGAGAGAAACCGAAAAAAAACTAGCAAGATTGATTTATCCGATCAAGGAAAAAAAGGAATAATAGGAAAAAAAGTATTGATGTTAAAAGGAATCATTATTGTTATAATATAATCATCATATATGTGTGTAAAAGAATCACTTTATTAGTTTATTCGATACAACAAAAAAAAACTTTTTCTTTCTCTCTTTGAATATGAAAGTATGAACGAGATGTTTGTTTGTTTGTTTGATCGATTGAATAAACTTTACATAAGAATTTATTCTACAATTCATATATTGTACGTGTTTTTGCGAAATATATTGAATCAAAAAGATAATTTTTTTTCAAAAATTCTAATCGAATGTTTGAATAAGGTTATAATCGAAATTTTATCAGTTATTTTTTTTTCTCGAAAAAGTACACAAATAAGAAAACCACATAATCAACTGATATATACATTGAGTGACCCACTACCATTTACTTATTAATAATAGAAAAAAAGTTCCAGGATTCTCGAACAAATAAATTACCAACAAGGAAATAAAATCAATATAATGTTATCCTATTTAAATGGAATATTTGTTCGTTTTCATTTCGCAATCGATTCAGGCAATCTAATCAAAAATGGAAAAAAAAGAATAAAAGGTCAATATTAAGAAAAAAAACCATGTTTGTTAGATCAGGATAAAACTTTTCATTTCAAGTTAGTTGTTATTTGATTCAATTTCGAATGATATTAAAGATGACGACAACAATCATCAATAATATTGCCAAAGATAATTCGGAGAAAAAAAAAGGATTTTCTTGCGGTCGTTTACAAACATTCCATTTATTTATGTGTAAATAAGAATTCAATAACAAAACCAAACGACTATCATCATTATCTTGCGATGATCATGATTGTCAACAACAATCATATTAAATGGAATATATTCAACTATCGTTTATGCTAAATTGAAACATTTTTTTATTGCATAGAAAATAAAGATGATAAAAAACATCTAATGTGATCCTAAAAGTCTGACGATTAGTAGGAAACATTAATGAAATTGAAATATACAAATTCTTTTCGAAAACAAACTATCTATTGCAACAATGTTTTTAGATTCAGGCTATACGAATATTCATTCGGTAATGGATTTGTTTTATTTTTTTTAGTTCAAATCAGAATTGTATTGAATCGATCATAAATTTAGCCTCAAGTTATCGATCATTTTTATTCAAAAATTTTTTACCATTATCTTAGGATAGAAACCACACACACATAAATGTCATTTATATTATGCATAGTTTTCGTCAATTGTCATCATCATCATCATCATCATAGTATCATACATACACGCTTCTAAGAATTAAAAAATTGAATTCTTCCCACAACATAAAAAAATTTGTCAAATTCAATGGTGACAATCGATATTCATCATATATTGTTTGGAATTTTTTTCCCATTAATTTTATTTTTCTCAGAAACTATTTTCTGACGGAAATATCGAAGCATTCCAAAAATTCAGGGATTAAATTTTAGGCACAGAAAAAAAGATGATTGATACAAAACAGAAATTTTTTCAAGTCATTTTTTTTTTGAATCAATTTCATAATGAATAAGAAAAGTGAATAGAAATAGAAGTCAAAGAATTCGAATGAAAATAAAAAAGTGTTGAGTGTAACATCGAATGATTTGACATCGAATGATAGACCATTCATAACAAACGATACATCCTACAAAAGAATAATTTACAATCGTGTATTTTACATTTGGTTTTTTTATTCGAATTTAACGAGAATTGGAGAAAAACATTTTATGTATTTGTTGGTTTTGGTGATAATTTTCAATTTTAAATTCTAATTCATTCGGAATTATTCATGTTTTGATGCTTACTATATACAATTTATAAATATTATTGACAGATTTTGATTGCTCTTTTCTCAATTATAATTTCTTTTTTTTCTTCTTTTTTTTCTTATTGAATTACAGAATTCCATTGGGACTCATCTGTGTTTTGTACATAAAAATTGGCCTAGTTGTTGCGAAACAAGGTCGTTTTGCACAGAAAGCTAATAGCCAACGTCGTATGGAACAGGATTCAGCTCGTCGTAGACGTTTGGCTATGGTGAGCGTGAGTCTTCAGTATTTATTTAATGAAAATATAAATCAATATTAAAACATCAGAATTGTGTTTTGCCATTCGTTTTGGCAATTTTTTCGTACACATACACACACATCATCATTATCATTTCCTACAGAGCATTTTGATAATGGAAACACGGGATGCAAAAATAATAATAATAATATTCAAACTAAAGACACAACGGTGTTTTGTTTGTGATGATCATTTTCTTATCATTATTACAAGCATAAAATAAATTGATTTGTAAATGTGTGAATAATATTAAATACAATGAGTGAAGGCAGACCACAGAATGAAAGCCGATTTAGAAAATAATTTGAATTTTTGTTTTTTGTTGTGGTAATTTATATTTGCTATTTTTCCACTTAATTTTCTTTTCTAAATGTTAAAAGTAATGGATATTATGATTTTTTTAAAATCAAATGGATGAAATATTTGAATTATATGCACGCACGATCATCCATACATTCACATTTGAAAGAAATTTTGGTGTTGAATTTAATTCAAGTTGTACAATTTACTTTTTGGTTATTTTTGGCTATTATTATTTGAATTTCTGGTTTGTTTTCCATTCAACATTTGAATAAAATCGTAAATAAAAATGGTTGATAATGAAACTGAAAAATTTTGTTGTTTTTCTTTTTTTCTGGTTTCATTTGTTGCAGCCACAAAAATAAAACTCAAAATCTGCAAAATTGAGAAGAAGTGAAGAAGAAAAAAAACCATTTGACAATCTTTGTCCTCATTCATTCTGTCACGAACAATACTTGAATGAAAAAAAATTAATGAATGTGAACAAAGACAACAACAACAACAACAACAAAAACAAAACGAATAAATAATCTAGTGGAAATAACAGAATTTTTTATTTTGTGAAAATAAATTTCATAAATGTACTTTATAACCTTTTTTTCGGAATGATGGATAGGAAAAGTATTAGAAATTGAATTGAAAAATATTGATATATCTTTCAATTCGATACAGGAAAAATCAATCTTTTTACTCATCAAAGACCCAATTTTTGTTTCAACTGCAAAAAAATTGACAATACAAGTGGAATGAGAAGACATGACTAAAGAATTTTCAAAAAATAAAACATAAATGAAGATGACGGTAAGAAAAGATTGAAAAAATCTTTTCATAACGGTTTTTTCTTTGGATAGAGAGGATAAAGAAAAACAACAAAAATGATGTAATGGGCTTAGAGTTTTATTTTTTTTAACTCCATTTATCTGTTTCTTTTAAATTCGACAACAAAAAAATAAATAGATTCTTGCCGAAATAAACCAGATTTTTTTCTCGCCAACCCAAACAAACATGAAAATTGTCGGTATCCGCGAATGAATTTGAAAAATTTTCCTCATTTATTTGACATGTCAACAATGAAATTTGTTTTTCCATGGATACATAAACCCATACCCTTTGCTATTTATTTATTTTTACTTAAAATATTCAACTACTATAATATACTAACTGTTAAAACCATGCGAGGATAAGTTAGTCAAATTTTATTCATTTTTTTTCATTATTAACATTTTAACATTGATATACGTTGCTTTTATATTAATTTATATTTGGTGTGATTTTTGTTGTTGTTGTTGTTGCTGTTTCTGTTTACTGTTATCTTTTTCATGGTTGATATAGCCTTGCAAAGAATGATTGATGAATAATTAGTCATCAAAGTTGGTTTTCTATGCAGAATTCAGTTTTTGTTTTCTTAACATTCTTAGTTTCTTTCAGAATTTTTTTTTTCATTTTTGGAACAAAAAGCAAAACATCTATTACAAAACGGATACATCAAGTAGAAAATTTTTCCAGAATGTATTTTGTTAACTGATGATGAATAAATTGAAATGATTATTGTCGTGTAAATATAAATTTGGTAACATCATTATCAAGTTTTTTTTCCATACATATCATTTAAAAATACATTCTCATCATTCATTTATTCATCCATGATCATGATCAACTTCTGAATAAATGTAATGAAAATGAACAAACGTTTCAGTGAACAAAAACGGAAACTATTAGTTTTTTGGGTTCATTTTTTTACGTTGATATTCTGATGTCAAAGTTGGAGGAAAAATGATAAAAATTTTAAAACGATTAATCATTTGATATTTACAAATTATAAATTTTAAACCTATTTTTGATCCCATTTTTCTTAATTTTCCTAATCTATTAATGTAGTTCAATTCAATAATCAAAAAAAAAAATCATTGGTAGATGATTAATTGATTGTTAAATAATTGATGAGATGATGTTACAAAAATGAAGATGATTAAATAAATAATGTGCGCACCTTGCTTCGAGCAATGCTGTCGATACAAAATGAACGACCAAAGTTCCAAACAGATTTTCGGAACCGAATCTCTTTTTCAATTTCAAATTCCATTTTTTTGAATTTGAATTTTAAATTTGCAATCATTTTTATATTTCAAAAATGAAATATCAAATCTTTTTTTCCTGTATCGTTGCTATTAGAAGTAATAATTTTTTGTTTTGTTTTTCGAAAATTTCATGCGTAAATATTTTGCAATTTAATCAAAAAGAAAAACTTCAAATTGGAACATCAATATAGACGAAAAAGCAAACATTATTTTTTTCAGTATAGCTTTTAGCAAATACTATTGTGATGAAAATTGTTGACCATATCATATCATATCGATGTTTGAGAAAAATTCTTTGAAATTCATCATTCGAGCAAATGATATACAGACTCACACACCGTGTATATCAAAATGTTACACTCAACTTCGAATGAAAAGATGCAAAGAAAAAAATGAAATTTTTATGTTCTATTTATACCCAATATTTACACTATTCAATTGTTCCAAAAAAAACATGTGTTTTCTCAATATTGAATTCAAGTTCTTAAAAAAAATTTATGAAATAAAACAGATAGATGTGAATGATGCCGACAAAATACAAGAAACAGACTTAGTATGAGAAAAAGTAATTCCTTCTTTTTTCAGCTCATCATCCACATAGGATATTCTTTTTCACATTTTAAATAATCATCATCAGTCAATCAACATGAAAAAAAATATATTTATCAAGTTTCTCTTTTTGAATTTTTGGATAATGTTTTTTTTTGTATCCATCTAAATCGATTATTATTAGTGTTTATTACTTTATATTATTACCCACACGTAACCGGAATGGGTTTATGTTCTTGTTTGATGTTTTGTCATTTTGTCTTGTTTATAAACATATAATAATAATGATGTGTGTGTTTTTGTCTGTATTTGTCTTTCATCTGCAAACATATTATCCTTGTGATATTGTCAAGACAATCAACAAACATTCTTTTCACTAATCCTATAAACATTATTTTTAAATAGAAAAATACAAGAATGCTCTACACTATCCTGAAAACAAGAAAAGCAAAACAGAAATAGAATTATTTTCATTAATTGATAATGATCGATATCGTAATTTTCGATATAATAAAAATAAATAAATAATTATTTTATTGAATCAAAACAAAATAATCCATATAAGCTGAAATTAATGGGTAAAAAAGTGATGAAATAAAGATAATCTTCGATAATAACAGAATATAATGAAATAATACTTGAATCTGATTCAATTTGTTTCCTATTCCACATCATCGGTTACGTTATTCATTTACCTAAAAAAAATAAGAAAATTGCTTTTATTTTTCGATGATAAAATAACCAAATATTTCTGGAACATTTCAATTATCAGAAAAAAAGAAATTAGTTAGAACTTGAAAAAACACAATCTACACAGACGCAGAAAATGACAAAGTCAATAATAATATTGGAATTTTTAGGTCAAATTGGCTTCATTTTTTTTCGTTTGAAAAAAAACTTGATAATTCGTTTTATCTTGAACAATTTTATCTGAACCACTCCCATACATCAACAGCATCTGTATGTTACTTGTATGTTGTTCGTTTTTCAATCATTCAAGTTGATGAATAAAGTAATTTATAATATTCGAATTTGACAAGGTTGTAGTTATATTTGATGATGATAATGTTTAGAAATTGCATTATAATTTGATTTGATATATACTTTGAATTAAATAAAAATGGTAATGATGAGCATGAATTATTGATTTTGGTCATGGAGATAAACTCAAATTTTTCCAAAACAAATCCAATCTACTTATCAATCTTTCAAAAATAAAAACAAGTCAATTTAAATTTTAAAAGTTTTTTTTTTGAAATTTCGATTCTAGACTCCCACTATCATTTATTATATATGATTATGATAAAGTAGTTTCATTAGTTTCCATTATTAATTGGATGATTATATATTTTTTGGATTATTAAAGTTGAAAAAATTAAAAACTTGAAAAACTTGATGATTAGAATAAAGAAATGATAACGATAAACAATAATAATTCAACCGATTAAGGGAAAAAATTATTTTGAAATTACAAAAGATATTTCCTTCATTCAGTTATGCAACATTCTGAATAATGAGATACTAAATCAGTGGAATTTTTTTCCCCTGTGAACATTTCCAATTTTGTTCCAAAAATAATGCAAAAAAAAAGTTTTTACAAAAACAAAAATGAAAAGCTTGATGAAAATAATGTGTTTATAACATCCAAAAAACATTGGGGAAAATGAAAAATAACAATCATATATATAAATAGAAGCTTTGAAAAAAGAATTAAAGAAAGAGGAAGAAAAAAACACCAACACAATTTTTTTTTGTCCAAATGAAAAATGAGATTTTTGTTTTGTTTTGTTCTATGTTCCGTGACCAGATACAGTTGTCATGTTGGAGACAGAATAAAGTAGAACAAAAAAGATTTCTTTGGTACTTCAATGTATATCATCGACAAACATCGAGAATTGTATATAATAATTGTTTGTTTGGGATGTGTAAAATGCACAAAATCATTGGAATTTTTTTCTTCGTAATGAAACAAAAATGTGAAGAAAATTGTCATAAAAAACTAAAAGAATTAATAATCATCATTTCCTAAATGATTGTGCAAAAAAATCATCATCATCATTATCATTATTGGACAAAAATGGATTCATCTTTGTATTTGGGGATAGTCAAAGTATTTTTTTTTCTTCATAAATAAATCGACGATAGGCACATAGGCTATATGAATATATGTTATTATTGTTGATGTTGTTGACATTCATAACAAAATCGAACTAACTATTAGAATAAAAAAGCTTGACAATTAGAAAGAAATCATCCGGAATCTAGTTGAATGAACGTAATGAGGATAATATAAAAAAAGTTTTTTTTAATTAAAACATGAATATCCTGAATGTGAATTAGAAAAGAAAAAATTAGTTGGTTTTCAATGTTATTCTTGTCACTTGACAACAACAATAATCAATTATTCATTCTGATGTAATAAAATCCTGAAAAACGGATATAACCCTTGCCACTCATATGGCCAAATGATTTTCGTTTTTTTATAACTTTTTATAATAGTTATAATTTTCTTATCGGGATGCCGACAATCCTCCTGTTTGGTAGAAAAAAATAATCTTTTTTTCATGGATCATTAATGAATTTTTAATGTTTCGAGGATTTTTGGAGAATCTATCTTGATTTTTTTGTTTGTTTTTTATTTTGAAAACAAAATAACTAATGCTGGTTATTAGTTTATCTTATCATTTCTGGATGAAAATGGCAACATAATCGAAATGTCAAATAATGATTCAGTTATGTTCATGTTTTTTTTCATTTTATCAATTTTGAAATTTTAACTAAAATTTCATTGTTTGTATTTGCGAAAGAAAAACTATTCTAATTAACTACTTTGCTAATTAAAGAATGAACTGAATATTTTGTTTCGATTTATTGCTTGTATGGAATTAGGTTTTTCAATTTTATTCAAGTCAAATCGAAACATGACAATTTGTTTTTAATCATCTACTTTTCAGGGAAAAATGGATTAAAATGAAATACCACAACTAATACCCGTAAAAAAATTGAAAACTTTTTTTGAAAAAGAAATGAAATTTTTTTTAATGATTTCATTTTTTCCATAAAACAAAGAATATAACAGATTGTGAACATTATCTTATCTCATACAGCCAACAAATGTCTAAAAATCAAAATGTAATAAATTCAAGTGAAATATTAAAAAATAAAAAATAATAATCTTGATTTATTTCGACATCCAACATAAAGATATGGACAATTTTTTATAAACATTTTTTTCTGATTCATTTTTTGATTGTATTTTGAATATTTCAACATTCATATAATGATGGTCTTGTGTAGCCCTTAAGGGAATGAACATATTTTAACAAGAATAAAATGGAAATTTTTGCTTTATAATTTAATGAATTCATTGAATCAAGATGAAAGATGGAAAGAAAATGATGACAACGTCAATGATGAAGGAGATTTTGACCAAAAATAACAAGGAAAAAATGAAAATTAATTACAAAAACTGAACAGAGAAGAGAATAGAGTAAGAAAAAAGAAATGGGTTAAACTAAATGGGAAAAAATGCAATTACGACCGGATTTGATTAACTCGGTGACCATTTTTTATGATGGAACTCTTTGCAATCAATTTTTGCGTTTTGATTAAAATTGTTGCAGAATGATCATTACCCATAATCAACCAATGTCAATAACAGCAAGCCATAATCACAGAACTAGACACCAAGAACAACAACAACAGTTGCAGGATAGGAGATAAAAACCAAAATCATATTCGTGATTGAAAATTTGAATTCCCTCTAAATAAAGCTTTAGAAAAAAAATATAAATGTGATTTTTGTTTCCAATTGAATCGATTGAATCAAATTTTGCTATCTTCTTCAATTCATTTTAGTCATACATCATGCTGATTTATATCATTAACATTTCAATATTGGATGACCTGAAAAATTAAAAATGAATGATGATGATGATAAAGATGATGGATGGGGCGTCGATAATAATGATAATATTGACAATCTTCAGTTTGTTTATTTCGTATCAATTCTGAATTGCGAAATTGAATTGACTTTTTCGAAAAAAATGTTGTTTTCAAAATGAAAAAAATGCATCTCAAATCGAATAAAGTAATTGGAATTGACACATTCAAATTTTTCTGCTTGACTGAATATTTAACAGAATATGGATTATCGAAATGGAAATAATGTTTTGAATTGAATTGAATATCTTTTACTGAGTTTGTTTTTTGTTTTGTATGTAGATTGATGGCAACCAAAATCATTTTCGAATACAGTGAAACATGATTTCCATTTTCAAGATTAACGGTCATCGGAAATAGTCATTTTCTCATTATTAGCCAATAATGGATACATTTGTGGCAAAAATTCATTCGTTTAATAACAAGAACAAAAAACAAAAAACAAAACAAAAAACTTTGAATCTGATAGTAAATTAAATAAGCAATTCATTTGCATCATCATCAATATTATGGCGAGAATTATCTAATGGAAACTGTTTTGCTAATCGAACATTATCATTATGCAAAAAATAGTTTTTATTTCGTAATTTAATTCGATTGACTAATTAGTCCATTAGTGAAAAAAACCACAAGCACATATACACGCACGCACTCAAAAGGAACGAACACAAATTAGTTTGGTTGTATATTCAAATACATTTGGTTGAATGGAAAATGTACAAAATTTTTCGTATGTGGCTGTAAGATACAAATGGATTTTTTACATCTCTTCTGTCAACATTCATCTTTGTTGTTGATTAGTATCCATTAATTATATGTATAATCAATATAAAATGCATGTGAAAGAATTTCAAAGAATTTTTCAGAAAACACATTTAGAAGGACAAACAAATGAGACAGATAAAAAGAAATTCCTAAATGTAGAAAAATTTTCTTTTCTTTTGTTCGGCTATTTAACTGCTTTTGTTGATGCTGCCGTCATGAAAAAAAACTCAAAGAATCGACGTTTTTCTTCAATTTTCAAGAATAGATTTTCTTTTCTTTTTTCACTAAATAAGCAAATTTTAATTTTTTTTTTGTTGTAACATTTATTTTGAAAAATAAATGAATCGATAAATGAATGAAAATATTCCTCTAATTTTTTTTCTCGTTTTTTTTATTCTTAAAATTCTTCGAACAAAAACCCTTCTTACCAACACACACCAACACTCAGCTCATATTGATCGTTGCAATGTTTGGCATATGTTGGATGCCATTAAATTTATACCATCTGTTGGTCGATTTTCATCTTATCATCGCTAATTTTAATATTTTTCTCATTTGCCATTGGATAGCCATGTCATCGGTTTGTTGGAATGTAAGTAATTCAATAATAATAATAATAATAATAGCCTAATTATACTTGAATCTATGAGAAAAACAAAACAAAATCATTATATTTTCAAATCAAGATTCCATGGAATCAAATTATTGTTTAATTAAGAAAAGAAGCTTAATTCTATTTAAACGAAATTCAGGATATATATAGATTTATCCAAGAATGAAAAATAAAAACAATAATACATACTTCAAAGACGAAAATGACAAATATTCTTCGAAAAACATTCATATAAATATCATTTGAAAAACGACCATCAACATTATTTTCCATTCTCAATAATGTTGATCCATTATATTTTTAAGGTATTAACAAATAAATGAACTTTACTGAAATGAAATGAAATCCTATTTTTTTTGTTTGTCTGTTTGTTCATTTGATTAATTACATCGTTCGGTATTGTTAAAAATGTCTGTGTATTTAATGAATCATTAGTTTTGAAATAAATTCAAAAGAATAATATTCTCAAAAAAAGTCACACACACACCGGATTTCCTTTCATGATTTCAATATAAATGTAGTATTTTTTTCATTTGATATATCAAGATTAATTAAAAGTCAAACAAATAGTTCATACTTTTTTCATTATAAATGAATTTGACTTTTTTTTGATAATAGAAAAAACAAACTACGACAACGAATCCATTAAACAGTCAATCAAAATGATCAAATTATTTTTTCACAATAATTTTTAACAATTAATAGGAATTGAAAATAAAAATCCATTCGATGAATCCTTTAATTTTAGATATGGATCAATGAAATAGAAAACCTTCTGGAAACTTTCCGACCATAGAATTCCATTGTTCTCAATATTCAAGTTGATCTGATGCAATTTTTTTTTAATCAACTATATGAATTATATTACCATTGAATAGAGAAAAAATCACAACGATAGGAAATTCTCACCAAAATAATCATTTTTATTTGTGGTATAGGGTTGATGTAATTGGATTCCAAAATACATGCATACAAATATGTTTGATTAATTTTAGAAATATTTCACGGGAAAAATATACAATCTTGTTGTTATGTTGTTGTTGTTGTTTTTCTAAATATTCATATAACATAACATCAATGAATATGAAATGAATGATCTGGAACAATAATATTATTTTTAATAATAATGAAAGGCAACCTATTAGATGATTTTTTTTTCTGATTTTCAATTATTATTTTAGAAAAGAAATTTGAGTAAAAATATATGCAAGTGTGTGTGTGTTTGATAAAAAATTATTCATACGTAAAATATTAATGCTATTTTGGCATTGTTTTCTTCAATATTGTTAATTTCATTTTTTTTCTGTTTCACGTCTATTTTTTGCGATAAAATAGAATTCAACTCAGTTTTTCTGAAACAAATTTCAATATATTGTTACAGTAGTAGTTGTATTGTATTTATAACGAAAATAATAATAATAATTTATCTTTTTATCTCATTTTCCTGTATAAACATAGCCATTCATCTATTGTTGGTTGAATGAAAGTTTCCGTAAAGGTGCAACCAAAATGATTATATTCATTTGTTGTTGCTGTTGTCCACGAATACGGCGTCAATTTTTATTGAAAAGAAATATAAATGAATTTGTACCTTCTGTTGGTGGAAGCGGTGTTGGTGGTGTTATAACTGGTGGATGTGTTGTCACGATTGGCATCGCATCCTCATCATCACCGATCAATACATTGACAACTGCAACGGCAACAACAACGACGCAAAATCGACAAACAAATCAGCAAAACCAAACAATTAAGAATGATCATAGTGGAAATGTCAATAAACAAAATAATTCCATAAATGATCATCCGGACACATCAGGATGTCAATTATCGTCTGTAAACAATAACAACAATCAAAATGATCAGAATCCGAATGATAATAATGGTAATCGTACGCGAAAAATACATCGCCGAAAATTTCATAAATTACGTTCAATATCATTACGTAATAAGAATCCAGCTAAATCAATAGCAACAACAACAGCAGCAGCAGTAACTGTGATGAATGTCAATAGTAATAATAACCGAATGAAATTCAAATACAAAAAAAATGCTTCAGCAACAGCAGTTAAAATCAACGAACCAACGGAAAATCAATGCCATTATAATGATGATCAAACAGAAATCAATAATAATAATATTTTAGGCTGTAAACATGAGAAAGTAAAAGATGTCAAAAAACGCTCAAAACATCAAAATCAATCGTCAACATTGCAACTAGATTCAAGACCGAGATCATATGTCAATAATAACAATGATGAAGAAATCATCAACGAAAACAACAACAGTAGTAATGGTAACGATGACAGTGTTACCAATCAAATTGTACCGGCCAAAACAACTACAACAATCAAAACAACATATGTTTGATTGAACGAACTGTATTATAATAATAATTGTAAAAAAAACATAAAATAAAAATGATTATTTCCCGAAAAAGTCCCAATTCTTTCGTGGCCTGATAATCATCACTTTTAATGGATAATCAACACAAAACTTACTAATATTTACAATATTTTGTTCTGATGAAAAAAACAATTTATTAAATGGTTATAATAATAAATATTATAATGTAAAGAATATCAAATTTCGTTTCCTTTGTTTTTTTTGCCATTGTCCAGATAAATAAATAAAGAAACGCTAATAAATAAATAAATTATTGACAAGTTTTGATGAAATTGAAAAATCAATATTAACAAAGTGTTGTTCTGATTTAATCGAATTTTGTTTAATCAGGGAATTGTTTTTTTTAGAAATTGGAACAAAAAAAATGACTTTTCTCATAGCAACAAACTCATTTTTTATATAAATATTCAGCATTATTCATGACCTGGAGAAAAAATAAATTTCTTTTTGAAATGAAAGAATTGATACAAAATACAATACGACAATCAATGCAAAAATCGTTAATTCTATTTGCGTATGTACCATAACATTCCTGGAAATTGAAAAAAAAACAAAATTCAAAAATATGCGAAAATTCTTTCCATTGCCTCAAGGAATTCATTCAAAATCAATTATCATTCAAAATCATTCATATTGATTTGTACATTATTCAATTAATTTTGTATTCGTTTCATAGGCATACAACAAACATACAGAAAAAACATTCATATCCACTGCAATGTCCAACAAAATATTGAATAAATAAAAAACTTTGATGAATGGAATTGAAATCATATTGGACAAATTCCAAATGTATTTTTTCTTTCTTCAAATAAATGATAAATAAACAAAATCAATGATGATATATTCATAAAATTTTTTGTTGTTGCAGCATAAGTTTTTTTAATATCACGATTCAGCTTTCATTTTTTTTTGTATTTGTAGAAAGAATAAAACAAAAAGAGTTATTTTTTATTATATTTTTCCATAGAATTTCCCGATGTAGTCTTATGCATAATGTACGAGTATGCACATTTGATTTTTTTATGAATGTTGAAATTTTTCATAAAAAAGCAATGAAATAATTCCCTTCGCTTCATTGTCGCTGAAATCAGAAAAGAAATTTTCTTTTTTTCCAAAAAAAAATAACACACAGCAGCCTGAATTTTTCTCACATAAAAAATCAAAACTTTTGCTATTATAGTTTGCGATTTTGTTACATCAAGAACTTATACATTTCAATGACGATAATAATTCAAATAATATTTATTTTGAATTGATGAAAAAACTTTCATTTTTTGTTCCTTATAAATTCGGAGTGTTATGAGAAAAAAAACATCACAGAATTAGGAAATATAGAATTTGCAAATGAAAACAAAATTCAAAGAAGATTGGACAAATATAACGAAGATGGAAAATGAATTTTAATTTTTCTATGCTCCATTTGCATTTTAAAAAATCAACAGAGACGACATGAATAACAAAAAAAAGAAAAAAAATTCATGATATTTAACTGATATGAATCAAATTTGAAAAGGCTTTCTTTTCTATTTGATCAAATTATTTGAACTAAGAAAAATTCTTTTGTTACTGATCATCAGATCGTTTAAACAAGGTTATTTTGAAATAACAATTGTTTGCTCATACGGAATCGAACTAAAACCTATAAATTTTTTTATCTATCATTCTGAATGAGCTTTCAATTATTGATATGAGAAAAATTTTGCTGAAACTGATAATGGGATTATTAAAAATGAACAAAATTAAACATCAATTTATAATTGAAAAAAACCAATTTTATCTTAGTCAAACCAAATATTGAGCTAGAATCTTTCTACAAAATGCGGAATGTTCGATTGACCATATTATTGTTGAAAATATGGTTGATTATAATAATAGGTCCGAAATTTGATGAAAAAATGTTTATTATTACCGAACTAAAAAGAAAAATTCTGTATTTTATTCACGTATCAATTTGACGAATGATGATGATAATATTACTCAACAGTGGCTATTTATTATTTGTTCATTCGTAACAATATACTAAAATTGTCCATATAAAAGTTGGCTTCAAACTTTCAATGTGAACAATATTATATTAAAAGTAAAAAATTTACAATTCAAAAATCGTTTTCATCTAGATTTAGTCCGAAATATTTGATTGATGATTTCCTATCAACGTCATCATCATCGACGACGAATGTATTCAACAATCAACGTTATTTTGTCCTTTCCATTAGTCATACTAATATGAATAATTGGCTGCGTGTAATAATTATTCCCAAATGATATTAAATAAAATGAAAATATGTCAATTAATAAATATGCAAATGGATTGATGTGCGTCGTATCATGTCATGATCAATGTCACACACTAACTCAAATAGATGGTGGTTGATAATTTTAGTGAATATTCTCGCGCCCACCCTTGTTATAACATTTTTAAAGACAAATAAAGATTTGAATGCCATCTTTTGAGAAAAAATGTGCATAGATTATAATCATAATGAACTTTATTTTAAAAAATTTTCTACATTATTAACAGAAACGTTGGATATTTTTCAACGAAAAAAAACAATATAATGATGCTGATGATAACTGTTGGATCATTGTCCTGAACGAGAATTTTTGTCAAGATAATCTTTTGCTTCGTTTATTTTGGCAGCTATATACGGTGATCCACCTAATAATTGATTCATTGCGAAAAAAATAATTATTTTAAAAATATAAATTATTAAATACTGTTACTTACCTCGATCAGGATGATTCAATAACATTATTCGTTTATGTGATTCGCGTACTTTATTCTTATTCGCCGATGGACTAATGCCTAATATAAGACCAGCCTCACGGCGTGTCATTTTTGGCTCAAAGCCACCTCTATAATATTTATTATTGCTAAATGCCGAAGAAGGTATTGATTTCGATAATGTATCCCCAATTATTTTAGATGAACGCATCAATGCTCGACCTTGTATACAAAAATGTTTGAAAATTTTGTAATTTTCTATCGTTTCAAATACATACCTCCATAACCAATGGCAGCCAAAGCCAAACCAGCTAAAATAACACCAGAACTCTAATTTGGTAATAGAAAATTGATTGTAAATCATGGATAATCATAATTCAGATTTATAAATTGATTACCATTTTGAAATTGTGGTCAAAAACTGATGCAATCTGAACGATGAAAAACAAAATCGGAAAAGAAACACATGATTTTTGTAAGATTTTCACCGCCATCTATTCATTGTTTACGAAACTAAGATTTTTTACAAACCTCACAAAATTCAAAATAAAGTTTCCAACCGCATGAACGCTATGCTGCCCATTTATAAGATATTTGACACAAAATTCGATCAATATAAAAAATTTAATAAAAATAAATAATTGACAAATAAATAAGAGAATCTGAATTTTACAAAGTGAATTGTGCGCAAAAAATGCTTAAAAAAAATTATTCTGATACAATTGGTTTCGATTCTGAACCATCCATTGTTGGAAATTTTTCATTCACTTGAGTGTCCGAAATTTGGCTTGCTTCGATACGTTTTTCCCAGAAAACAGCTCGCTGTTTGATAGCACCAATAGCTCTTTTTTCTTTTTTGTTGTTATTAGATTTTCCATTAGTCATTTGATTATCCAACGAATTTATGCTTGATGACAATGTTGAATCATTAGAATCAAGTGATGGTGAACTATAATTACTATTTCGTGATAAATTTCTGTTTCAAAAATATTCATAAAATGAAAATTCACATTCAAATCGAATTCAACCAAACATTTTACCTTTCTTCATTTGATTGACCATTATTTATGTCAAAAGTCGCCTCTTCGACAAATAGAGTGGCCTTCGCTGTCGTAGTGGTAAAAGGTTCTTGGTTAAGTTGAATTTGAGGACTTGAAATTTTCATCGAAGTTGATGATGACGATATCTCATTCGCTAGGTTAATACGATTTTGTTCATTAAATCTTGGTAAATTTTTTTGATTTTGCTCACAAATCTCTTTAGGTATGGAACGACCTGTCAGACTGTACACCTAGAAATCATAATCATAAATACAAAATGATATAAATCATTATATTAATGAATTGTAACATACAGCATAATTTTTAGAATTAATATTAGATAATCGCTTTTGCTGTTGTTGTTGTGGAATTTGAGTTAATGAATTCGATTTGGATAATGGCGATGTAACAGATGATGATGATGATGGTAAGTGTTGAGTTGATGCCGAAAACAAAGAGGTCAAACTTTTTACAATATTTTTACGGATAGGTGGACTTGTTTTCGCTCCTTCAATACTATTTGATTTAATGTTATTCGAATGATGATGATGATGATGATTTGCAATTGTTTGATGATTACAATCATTTGCTGTTGTTATTTTTATTGCCGAGGTATTATTATCACTATCAACAATCGAATCATTGAATGATGAATCAATCCTTTTTGTATCCATCAAATAACGTTCATCGTTATTAATCTCGACGGAAATCTCACTATATTGTTCAGGTGATGTACTTTTACAATGATTATTTCCAATAATATCGACGCTGATTTGACTGACAGCCATTTTTTCACCATTAATTTTATTGTTTGTCGATGTCAGTCCATTGACTTCATTATGGTCATCATTTTTATTCATCGATGTTGCCGAAGATGATCTGGTCGAAGAAGGTTTTCCTCCCAATGACTGAAATGATTTATGAATAGTAATGAAAACAATTAGTATTGTTTATGTAGGATTAATACATTAGCAGTCAACAATTTTTAACATACCGATAAAATTGCAAATGAATATTTTTCCTCGGGTAATTTTCTCGTTTTTGGCAGATAATAATTACGCTTGTAACGATCTAAATCTCTGGCACTGTGAAAAAATTTACGCTTTTCTTCCGGCACAAATTCTTCATCATCAACAATATGTTTTATCATTCCATCAGTTCGATCATCATTTAATGTAGCATCCGGTGAATATAAAAGCTCGGGAGAGAATGACATCATTTTCTGTCGTGAACGTTTTTCTATATTTTCTGGTGAATATGGATTATTCAATAGATTTACGTCAGGATTATTCCATTTGCGATGTTCACGTTCAGCGATTGGCATCACAGGTATATTTATTGAATCATTTAATGAATTTGATGAGTCGGAAACATTTTCCGATGATATTTGATCATTGGAACTTTTGGAACTTTCCCTTTGTAATATTTGTATTGTTTCATCATATTCTTCTAACATTTGTCCATCATCACCATATGTTTTAGAATGGACAATATCTGTTGATATGATTTGTTGTGGTGAATTTGTACAATTTGAATCGATTGAAATCTAAAAAAATCATAATAATAAAAAAATATGTTATAATCATTGCTCAATGTATTTTTTATAAACAGTGATAATAATAATGATACTTTTGAAATATTCCCGCCACCATCATTAACATCGACAGTTTTATCATGATCATCGATACGAACAAATTGCACATTTGAGCTTGTTGGCAATGGCGTTTGTCGATGTTGAATAATATTCAATAATAATTTATGATCCTTTGAATTTAATGCCTGTCTTTCTTCCCATGTTTGTTCAATCACGTGAGGTGATGATGCTAAAGATGAGCTCAAATGATTGACTTTAGGATTATTATTATTGTTTCTTAGTTTAACTTGATTAGGGAAAGTGGTCATGGGACTTTCTATCTTAGTAACCAGTTGAGAAAATTCATTCGTGTTTGTCTGTTGAATAATTGATGATTTTTCAGTCATGATTGTCGAAGAGAATTTATATGATGAAGAAAAATATAGGAGGAAAGATAAAGAACCCAAAAAATGCCCGAAAAGAAAAAATAAGGAAATAATTTTTAAACCCCAAAATCAAAATTTAGACTGCAAAATATCAACTTACTTTACGAGATTTATGTTGTGGCCGCCTTAATACAGGTCGCGGTGACATAGGATGATTAACATTGACTATAGATGATAATTGTTGATTGAACGGATTAGGAACAGCTGAAAAATGTTGCCTATCAATGGCTACTTTGAAATCACACCAATCATGACCGACATGATTATAAGCAACCACCGAATAGATACCGGCTTGCATTGGATTCGATTTTTTAATCTCCAGAATACATTCATTATCATTGAATACGATCAAACGGTATGCCGAACACTTACTTTCGACATATCGTCGATGTATAAATCGTAAACCAAAATAGGTTCGAGCTAATCGTCTATTTTCAATCTCTTCAGGTCGTCGAGTTGATTCATCGGCCGATGCAGCAATCAAATGTCCATCCTTATACCAAGCGAAATATAATGGCAACAATCCTTTAGCTTTACAACAGAATTGTGCTACAATTCCACTGTGTAATGAAGCATTTCCGGGTTTCATCGTAAAAGTTGGAATAAAATCCAAATTTTCTAGACGTGGATTTGGTATTGAATTACATATTGTTCGTAATTCACTTGGCACAAAATCTGGCACTTTGATCTTGGTCCATCGTAGACTTTGAATAATGGCTTTATTTTTTCGATTTTCTATTGATGAACCTTTGATAAAAGATAACTTTGATGGTGCTACCCTACGATTTTCCATATACACGGTATGTGATCTGGCCATAGCATTGCTGCCATTGGTTTGGACAGAAGATATCGAGTCGATCATAGAGTTATTCTTTTCAGCACGGTTTTTTATTTTATCAACGGTATCTACACTTGCAATATCTTCTTCTTCATCGGAAGAAAATACTATTGAACCAGTTTCTGATAAATGTTCAGATAAATCGGAAACTTGATCAGCTTCCATTTCGCCCAACATTGGATTCATTGCTTGACTAGGATTTGGTATCAACATTGGTACAGATTCTGCTAAAGCTAATGCCATATATCCAAAATGAATATCAGAATTAAGATGATATTGATTATAAGATTTATTTTCTTTGCTTTTTTTAAAAAACCAATTATCTTGCCAGGAATGTGAATTATCAATCAACTTGATACCAGAATCTTGTGAAAGATTCGATTCAGTTGATGAATATTTTTTCGAATCAATCAAATCAAGACCGGCTTCGGGAAAATAAACTTTTGATTGTTCGAAATTTAATTCAAGACCAAAATCATTTTCATTATTTTCATCATCTTCCGCTTCATTATAAGAATAATTATGATTATCATTCAATTCTTCATCATTATTATGCATGGCCTCATCAATATCATCATTGGTCAATTGTCGATCACAGTAGCTATGTTGATCATCCAATGAAGAGACTGAATAATCATTATCCATTTTATAATTGGCACCACTCATGGCTGAACAATGACCATCACCACAATTACTATTGCCACAGCAACCGCTACTGACTGTACGAATACGATTCAAATTTATATGGCTATTATGATGACTACTATAATGGTCAATGAATGATACACCACTTTTAAAACTATTAAATGATGCAGTCGATGCTGTAGTCATAAAACGACTTTGTCCATCTTCAATGATCTAATTCGGTAAAAATAACAAAAACAAACAGAAAAAAAATTTTAATTAGAAATTCGAATTGATTGATTTTGGTACTGTTTTCTTTATCATTGAATTCAATCATTTTACAAACCTGATTAACAACAGATTGTGCCAATAGATGTTCATATGATTGACAATTATTAATGAAGTCTTCAACTTCTTTCAATTTCAATGGCTGTGATGGTAGATGTAATTGTTTTGTAAATTCAAATGATTTTTCACTAATCTTTTGTAAAGCTTCTTTTAATTGATTATAAGCTTCAGTAGGTGTTGTTTCTGGTTCACGACCTGTAAACAATAGAAAAACAATCAATGATTACAATGGCAATTACCTCTAAACAATTATTTAGATATTAATCACTTACCACAATCACAATCATAAATAGATTGTTGTAATATTTTGAGCAAATTAGCTAACAATGGTGTAAAGGTTTTGATCAATTGATTATCTATGAAAATATAATAAAAACAAACGGATAGAAAAAATCATTAAATGAGAAAAATTTAAAATTAACAAAATGAAAAAAAAATCAATTATAATCGATTTTCAATGCCAAAAAATCACCTAAACAATACAAACAAAATCAATATCAACATAAACCCTATGCGTTACGGATATTGGTTATAATAATCGATTGATTTTTTTATTGATAATACATATACCGAAACAAAAATTTTGCAATCAAAACATTAATAAAATAGGTCAACAAAAAGGTCACCAGCATATCTATATTTTTTCTGGTCAATAATCTTGTTGTCTATCAGATTCAAAAGAAAATAAATAGTTATGAATAAATACAAAGGATGTAATTTGGAAAGTAAGATATTTCTTTCAAACATATTTTTTGTAAATTGCAAATATTTTATAGCCAGATTGTTTTGATTTTGTTGTGGCCAAAAAATAAAATTCTTCAATCCTCCAACGAATTACTGACCGATCAGCAAGTGAATAACCGGACAGATCTCAAATGTGTTTGTGTGTTTTTTGTCCGCCTTCATTTTTTTCTATTTTTTTTAACACCGGAATGATTGTTCCTTTTTTCACACTAAGTTTTAAACATATAAATCTTGTTTTATGGCTAAATATTAAATGCCTGTCAGAAAATATAGCTGAAAACAAAACAAAACGAAAATTCTTGGCCCCAATTTCAATCATATAAATAAATAAATAATGACCTCAGGTATCGTGTTTTTCGTTATAATAATAGACGGAATTTTCAACACCACTAAGATTTATACAAACATTTTATCACATCATAAAAGAGGATTGAATGAATATAGAAGAAAAAAATTTATTTGGCAAATACAAACCGATCGAGAAATGAAAAAAAACAGTTTAAATCCGAGTTTTTTATCTCATCACTTGATTTCATAATGCAATTCAAAACGATGAACACCGGTCATTATCTTATCATTGTTTGATTCGATTGATTCAATCATCAAAAATAAAAAAAAATATGAAACAAAAAGCGTCGGTGTTATAGGAATAATATTGGAAAAAGAAACAAACTTCGAATAGATTTATGATAGAAATCAAATACAGAAATCACTCGACTTATGAACAAATTCAACTTTTATTTGAAACATAACTAATTCGATGCGTAAATCAAGGAGTGTCTGTAAATATCATTGAAATTATTCATTTTGAAAAAAGCCAATAATCAATAATTGTTAGATTGTGTGACTATAATCACATGTAAAATTTGTAACAAAAAAAAACAAAGAAACCGAATAACCAATGATGTATAAAGATGTGCGGATTAATCTACATTTTGTTGTTGTTGTTTTTTAAAATTCAATGAAAGAAAATAAAAATGAAATTAAAACAGTAAATGGAAATTTCCCTATTTTTCTAAAAACCATAACAAAATTGAAAAAAAGAAGAGAATTGATCGATCGATCAATCAATCAATCAATTGGACAATGTCTACCGGATTTAAATTAGTATTATGAAGTTAGAAAGAGAAAGAGAACAAAACTCAAGTCAACATCAAACATCGATTTAAATCAAATCCAATTTTCAATTGTGATCATTCATTATAAATGCATATATGTTCAACGTACACAAACACCATTATTATCATAATATTGTATTGTGTTTATTTCATCATGGATGATTATTTAACCGATTCGAAACGAATACAAATAAATTTGTACAATAAATGTCTAATGCAAATGCATTGATAGTATAATCATCATCATAATCATTTTATATGGTCGAAAAACATGAAAAAACGAATGGCGCCCGTGATATGAACATTTTTGAAATTATTTCAAAACATTTATGCAAAAAAAAATATATAAAATAAAATAATCAGCAGCGTGAAATCAGAATTGACAGACAAACTGCTGAAGTATTTGAAGAAGTGAGTGAAAGAGATGGAGAGGAAACAAAGAAAATTTAACGATAAAAAAAGGCGAGGGAGTTGAATGCATTTGTTGATGATAGAAATAATGATGACCTGTATGCATCCAATCCTGTCCACTATTTGTCTGTAAGACACCAAAAAAAAAACAAAATAATAAAATCCGGCTTGCACATCCCAAAAGAATAAAGATTGTTGTAGATGTAAGTTTTATTTTTTTGCGTGTTTTTTTATCAACAAAAAAAATGATTAATTGATTATGCATACAAATGAAAAAAAATGAAAATTATAATAATCATTGCGCAGGAATAGCATACGAAATGCGATAAATTAGATCCATTGGATTGAGACCGACATTATTATTGTTTGATTAAACAGGTATGTAACAGAAAGGAAATAAATGGAAAAAAAATAGAAAAGAAAATTTCTTTTTTATTTATTTATTTATACTTACATTGATCATCATCAAATATGTATCCAATATGTGAATAATCAATCGAATCAAAGCCTAATAATTTGGCCAAATTTAATTCCATATCCGAACGTATGGCCAAAAGATTTTCTTGACGATGATGATTTATGCGTGTATGATAATCAATATTTTTGTTATTTTTTATTCGATCATTTTCCAATGATGATTCTCCATTCGTTTCAACTAGTTTGAAAAAAATAAAAATATTAATTTCAATCAATAAGAACAGGCCCACTATTGTGGATTAATCGTTGAATTCTTTCAACAACAGAAAAAAATATTAAAAATGGAAAAAGTAGATTATTATCATAGATCAGAAGTAAAAAAAACAAAACCTTCAAAAGAAAGTAGGAAGAAAAATTACCGGACTAAATTACATTTTTTATTTTTGATCCAAATAGCCTCCGATTATCTATAGATAATCGGAGATTAGATGTAAACAATAAATTTGGTACAATTATTATATTAGCTAGTTACAGTGTTGGTAGCAAAATTAATCTCAATCTATAGCCATAACGATAAACAATCTAATTAATCAAAAAAACAAAAAATCCAAAAAACACACACAACATATAAATTTTTATACATCAAAACAGTTATTAATATCACAAATTATTTAATTTTTAATTTTTTTTCTTTCTCTCCCTCTATAATGATTATATCTGCTATAATTTTTTCCAAGATATAATGTGATTAAATCATTTATGGAAAAAAAACAAAATTTTGAAAAATTGCCAGATTGGACAGTTTTCATCTCAGTCTGAACTAAAAAATTCGATTTAAGAAGGTAAAAAAGATTGATCTAGATTTTCTCTTGTTATGTCTATTGTCGATTATCATCAAAAAAGTCATACAAATTATGTAAATGTTGGATCCAAACTAATATATTTGATCATATTGAAATGTCTGAATAAGTGCTGTAGTGTAGGCTGATACTTATATTCTGTCGATTATGATCATGATTATGATTATGACGATGATGATGATGATGACAAGATTGGTAACAACAACAACAAAAAAACAAGTAACCATTTTGATGGTGGTCGTGTCCATCATCATCATCGAATTGAATACTAACGAAATTTTAATCAAATATCAAAAGGCAAAATCAAAATATCAAGTAAGAGAAAAAAAATCGAAATACCACAACAATATTGAATATATTAGAAAGAAATAATTTTTTTTTATCAAAAATGATCCAATCTTTTTTTTTGGTCAAAAAAAGATGCTTTATTATTATTATTATTATTAATCTTTTTTATCTGTTTTGTTGTTGTTGTTTGGTTTACTCCTTTTAATCATTTTTCCGACCAGATTTTGATTTGGCCGAATAAATAACAACTTTTTTTTTCTTTTCTCACAATAGATTATACCAAACATGATGATGATGATGATTGACCATATGATTTGGGTGAACTGAAAAATATAAAAAGATTTATTTTTCCACTTTTTCTATTATTATTATCATTATTATTTAATTTATAAATTCTAAAAGTCAGTAGAAAAAAAACTCGAATAAAAAAAGATTGTTTGAGATAATTTCATGATTGAAAATTCTGAAAATATAAATGAAATATTCGTTTTTTTTCTAATCGAAATCTATAAAATGAATAAGCCTTGTTTATGGGTTATGATGATGATATATCTGGAAAATCTAAATAGGATTATGTATGCGTGCGTGTGATGTGAAAAGAAAAAAGATGTGCTCAACGAATTAAATCAAGATAAACTCACTACATATATATTTTATAATGATAATCATCATGGTCAATATTTTCTTTTTCTGGAATAATAAGTTCACAAAAAAATAACCAAGGCAAGTCCATTCACCTTGAAAATTAAAGTAATACATAGAGAGTTTATGATGATAAAAGTGAAGAAACATAGGCATAAGTATATATACACATTGACATGAATAGCGATAAAGAATGGGATACAAAGGTAGATGATGGTATTGAATGAAATGTTATTTGAGAAACAAGTAAGAAGTAAGAAAAAAAACGGGAATCGAGCGCATCCACACCATTATCATCATCATCATCTTTGAAAAAACAGCTTTTTTTCTGACCATAGAAATCTTCAAAACATCAACAACTATTTAAACACAAACATTACATCTATACAACCGGCAAAATCCAGTTTTTTTCCTTAAATATTTAGTTTTTCTTGTTCAAATATATGAAAAAAAAATTTATATCCACATAATATATCAAGTCAAAATCTTTATACAGCAACAACGATTTGAACATCCAAAAAATATGGATACCTATCTCAACAATTTTTTCTCTTAATTTCTCATTTCTATAAAAATAATGTTCATTTAAAAAGATAATTCTTTGAATACGCATCAATTATATGAAATGATGATGATGATCATCATCATCATTAAAAATAATAATAATAGCAGATGAAGGAAGAAATATTGAAATACATAAACAAATCCAAAAAAAAACTTACCCATAATATTATCAATTCCATTTGATGAGGAACCATTTCGGTTATTAATATTATTTAACATTTCATTTTTGACAATATGTTCATCATCAACATCACAATCATCATTATTATTATTATTATTATTATTATTATTAACATTAAGATGATGACCATTTTTTGTAGTATTATTGATCAATATTTGTCGATTTGAATCATATCTTAATTTTGCATTGATAAAATGTAACAATTCCCGTTCTGATTGTTGTTTGACGATACGTTTACAAAGCCATGATTGACATTGATTATTATTTGATATTGTTCTATTTTGAATTTTTGACATGAAAAAAAAACAAATCATTTTAATCAGAAAAAATTGATTATTATTGTATTGTATAAAAACATACCGTTGTTGATGGCAAATGATGCATATCCATGAATCAAAATCATATAATGAACATTTGAAACAAACATTCAATGAACATTGTTTACAAATAAGACGTTTATGTCTAGATAAATCAAATCGAGAATTACAGAGAAGACATGATTCTTCTTGATCATCCTCATTATTTTTATTAGTATTATTATTATCGTCATCATCATCTTCGAAAATGGATGTTGTCGATTGCATTAACTTGATCATTTTTGAATCGATCGAATGATCTGGTTCATCGATTCCATTTGTATCACCAACACATTTGGATAGGTGAACATTGTGTTCACCCATACCAATATTATCATCACAATAATCATCATCAACTGCAACAATTTCATTATGATTATGGTGACCATTGGTCAATGAACCATTCATTGTTGCCATTGATAATGTCGATAGGTTTTGATATTTTATCAATGTTGTTGTTTTTGTTGTTGCATTTGAATTTGTTGTGGACATTTCGGCAGACAAAATACTATTGGAGAAAAAAAAGAGAAAAATGACAAAAATTATTAACTTTTTTCCCAAAAATATTTATTCCTTTACAATTGGTTTCTCTCATCATCATCATCGTCATCATCAACAACAACATCGAAACACATACACTTACAAATATAGAGGAAAAATATTGCAAGCTGAAGCTCACGATTGTTCAAAAGCAATCGTTTGAATTGAGTAAACGGTACAAAAAAAGACTAGGAAATCTAAAAAGTAGAAAATACCAATTCAACTTATTTATTTGCATTGATTAATGGTGATTAACATCAACATTAAACCATTGGTATTGATATTCGATTTTGGTTTTTGTAGTTAACTAACCGAATGACCAATAAATGTACACACGAACTGAACATCACGAATTTTGAATCAAATCTGGAATAACATGAATTGATGTTATTGATGATGAAAAAGAACGATTGCAAAATTAGATTCAAACAGCCAAAAAGAAAAAACAACAGCAACAACAAAGACCAAAACATTGCAAATGCATTTGGTGTTTGAAACCAACCTTGTTGTTATTATTGTTCCATCGGATATTTGAACATATTTTTCACCACCAATATTAATCTTGGTAAGTAATTGGGTATGTTTTGAACAGATTTGTCGCTGTTGTCTAAATCTTTCATACAAGAAACGTATCGTTTCTGTTAGTAAAATATTAATCGATAACATTGAATAGAATGAAGAATTTATACAGAAAACATCACGTAACATATAAGATAGAGAGAAAAAAATTCCTCATAAAACAACTTAATTAAAACCAACCTTTAAATCTCATATAAATGTTTTGGCACTCTCAATCATTGATGATTTTTTAAAAAAAACTTGATGATGATAATAATGTCGGAAACCAACACAAAAAAAAGACTTTATCATTATTATTATCATCATCATCATTTATTACCGTAAAACAATAAAAAAAACCATTTGCAATAGATGATGATTGGATACATACATACACACACAAACATTAAGATTGAAAAAAAAGAGTTTGAATAAATTGAAATGAAAAAAAGATAAAGATAAAAGCAATAAATTTTAATGAAAAAGGTTTGTAACTATAATAATAATAAAACAGGTAAAGCTCATCTGTTCATATAATTAATCTTATTCACATAAGAGAAAAGAAAAATAGATCACATTCAAACCTTTGTCGTTGTTGTGATTGTTGTTGATGTTTATGAGAATTTCGATGAAATAATGATCTTGGTGGTAATGCTAAACTGGAATAAATCATAAGATATGTTTTTGGCCGTTGAAACCAATGTTTCCAGGCATATTTTTCAAATATTTTTTTCTTTTTATTTTCATCATCATCATCATAATCAATATTGTTTTGTGAAAGTTTAGCAATGAAAAATAATGATATTAATACGATTATAATCCAGATGAACATTTGGAGCAAAAAATGAAAAATCGTATGATCGATGAAAAAAACAACAACAGGTGATATTAGACGGCAGACAAAACAAAAAATTATTGATTACAGGTAAATTTTTCGACAAAAAAAATCAAAGGAAAAATTTAACAGTGGCAATTTTCCTTATGATTTTGTCCAAATCATCACTTTCATCATCTTTAATCATCTATCATTTTGAATGTTTCAACTGAAAAATTCAAGTTAAAATTATGAATTTACAATCAGACATGCCGACACATAACAAAAAAATGAACAGTCGAAATGATGAAAAATAAAAAACACAAGAAAACATATAAATCGATAGCCGTAGAAAAATGGTTAAAGATGACAATCAATCAAGGACATCATAAACATCATCATATACATTGAGAGAGGAAAAAAGAAAAGGAATTATTGTACATGTTTTATTGCAATTTTTTTTTGGTTATCGAAGGATGAACATGTACCTGTTTTCTACCAAAGAAAAAACTAATCAACAAATTATTGATGACAATTTATAGTCAATTGATCAATTAGGTTGAAAACAGGATGATGATAATGATTTGGATTAATAATAGATGCTTTTTTAATAAAAATCAAATACAATTGATTTGATTTTGACTAAAGACTTTATTTGGGAAAAAAGAAAACCTGTATGATGATGATGATGAAAATGTCATTGATGATCACAGAAAACCACAAAAACAAAACGAACAAAAAATCAAATTATCAAATGAAAATTTTTACCTGTATTTTCATTCATCGATTTTTTTTTGATTTCAATTTTGTTGATTTTACACATTCAAAATAAATACAAATGCTTAAGAGAAAATAAAATTTCTGTGCATTTTTTTACGTAAAAAAAAGAAAAAAAATTTATCATTTACAACAACAACGAAAAAACAAAATCGTCAATCGTACTCGTATGTTAAGTAAGCATTTTTCTCACATTTTAGCCAGCAAAATTCACCGCTTTCACTCAAACACATAAACAAACAAACACACACATGTTAATTATTTTACACATTGATCTCTTTCACATTTTTTACCTAGTATTCCAAAAAAAAACATTGAATTCAATAAAAATGAAATGAAAAATCAATATTCGGGTCCACCTTTTTTCTACCCAGAAAAAAACAACTAATTTATGTGATAATTTCTACATAAATTTATCCGATTCAAATCAAATGAGGATAATAAAGATTTTTGATGAAAAAATTTAGTTAATTTTTTTCCTTTTTGGTCGAGAATTATTTTTATCCATGTTCATAGATTTCATAAACACACTTGCATATAAATTAACGAACACCAAAAAAATTTTTTTCTGTCATTGACCACAGAACTAAGTGGTTAATTTCATCTATAAAAAAACTATATAAATACAGGTGACAGAACAGTAAATCGATTGAATGAATGAAAAATTTTGCAAACACACCAGTAAGAGTAGTTATCAGTTTTCTACACAAACATTTGCTCTACAATAATCATCATCATCCATTTCGAATTGAATTAAATTGAAATGGAACAAATCGTAAAAAAAAGAAATTTCACATCATTTGATACTGTGTAAGAGGGAGACTGAGAAAGATTTGTAACTTGTTGTGTTGATTCATTAATCTCATTCGCGACATACATATCATCATCATCATCATCATACAGTTATGTCCGAATTCAATTTTTTTCGAAAAAAAGGAGAAAATTTACATCATCACTTCAACATTTAATTTCAATTACATCTGATGAATGTAGTGCAAAAAGAAAAAAATCAAATTTATCAAATTTCAAATCCAAAATAAATTATTGAAATGAAAAAATTGGACACACTGATGATGATGATGATGATGATGATAATCATGATGATTATATCATGAGATCATACAAGATGATTGTTAGTTAATGACAATATTTTCTTTTATGAATGAGAATTATTGTGAATTTTCATCAAGTTGTTTTTTCACACATTTTATCAAATATGTAACATGGTACCATTTGTTTTGTTTTAATTTTTTCAAGAAAAACGAATTAATTTTTAGAGAAAATCAGAATAATCTTTTCACCACGCACATCAACAATCATCATTATTTTTATTGTTTTTCAGCTATATTCCATTGTAAAAGGGTGATGTCAATTTCGACAGTGGTGTTTTTTACTCAATCTATACAATTACAATCAATTTTTCCATTTTTGTTTTGTTACAACGAAAACAAAATTGACCTAAATTCAATTTTGAAATTTTTCCTCTCTTTCTTCATACTTGTTAGAAACGGAAATTAGGTGAAAAGTGTTAGGAAATTCGATTTGGTCAAAAAAGTTTTTTTAACCCATTGTGTGATGTGAGAGATAGAAAATTCTTAACATCATTCACGGTGTGAAAATTGTATGCAAACAAGTCAATTTTTTTCAAAAAAAACAAGGTGAAAAAATATCTGATTGACATTCATTATTGATAATAATAATGATAAGAGGAAAGTTGAAAACCATGTTTTACATTCGACAATGACAAATACAAAAATAACGAATGAAAACTTTTTTATTTTCTCTGCATATAAAGAGATTTTTTTTCTCCTACATTGAAAAACACATGATAAATTTTTCTATTTGATTTGGATTTAAATTTTTGTTCAATCATTACAATTTTTGTCATCCACTACTGTGTAATGAATGTAAATTGAACAGATGATTAATTTGACAAAATGAAACGTTGGAAACAGTTGTATTCGAATGACATCAAGATTGAACTAAATTTTTTTTATTTGGATTGGACATTTTTCATTCAATCCAATCCATCTTCAATTACATTCATTTATTTTATTTTATTTTTTCGTTCGATTAAAATCAAAAATCATTAGGGAAAATGTAATGAAGCGTATGAAGCAGCCTGTGTATGCTGTTGTTTCAGAAATATCTGTGTGTGTTCGTGTGTGGTTCCAGTCATCCATATTCAAAAAAGTCCATGTTGTCATACAGTCAATCAATCTTTAAATCAATTCTGACCGTTTCCAAACGAACAAACCAATGACGAAGAGAAGGACAAGAAATAATAAGAAATTGTAAGAAAATCGAAATATATTTCGAAAACATTTATTTTTTTCTACCGTTGTTATCGATCACATTGTTGTAGTTTTTTTTGACATTTTCTCTAAAATTTTTTTTCTCCGAAATGATCAATCAAGCGACAAGCAAAAAAATTTTTTCAACTTCAAGTGACACCCAATATTTTTCATTTATATCATCTACCTGTTGCATTTCAGGTGTCATAAATATTTCTTTGCATGATGATTTACAAATGATGATGTTTCGATGTTTGGATCGGATATTTATTTAAACTAGAAGAATAATTATTCTTTTCCGATACAGCAATCAAGAGAATGCAGCAAAAAAGAAAAAAACTGATTGATTTTTCTCTATGGCTATTTGAATATCAATAAGTATTATTAGGTGTCAATGTCAATGTGAATTTTCTTCAAAAAAAAAATCATTATACTATCATCATCTTTTTTCTCATCATCATCATATTGTGTGTTGTCGATATTCTTACTTTTTTCCTAGGAATTTTCTTTTTCTTCTTTCCACTATCCATCAATCAATAATGATTATCACATATTTTAAAAATGGTTTGTTGAAAATCAATGAACCTTGAAATGACATTCCAATCTATATATATTTACAGACATGTAAAAATATCTGTAAAAAATTTTCAATTCAGTTTTTTTTCTAAGGATCTGTAAATTTAAAATTTAAATTTTAAAAGTTAAAAATTGGAAAAAATTGGATAAATGTTTCATTGATGACCGTTATGATGATAAAACCGTTATTAAGTTTTTCAACAACAACAAACAGCCATGTTCATAACATAAAATGGATAACAACAACAACAACAATGTTTTCATTTTCAATTCAAAAAAAAAAATTTATCATCATATATTGTCGACTATTTTATAATCAATCATTATATCAAACAATGGTTAAATTTCAAAGTTGAGCAAAAGAAATAGACAAACGAAAAAAAATGATCATTTCATTCAAAATGATGAATGATTTAATTGAACGAAGAGAAAAAAAAATTGTCATAACAACATTATGTATTGAATTGGTGAATGGATAAGATTTCATCTTCTCAAAAGAATTATGTTCACATATTACATATGTTGAATGGTTGGTTATATGTCCAATCATCATCATCGTATATTTTTTCTCACAACTGCAATATATGAAACTGATAATAATTCGCCCACACACACATAAAAGATATCGAAAGTAGAATCATCATTGTGCTGTGAACGAAAGTGAAACAAAAAAAAATCATCTGGATCCGGATCATAAAAGAAATATCCGATGACAAGAAAATTATGGTCACGATTTAACTGATGATGATGATAATGATGATAATGATGACGATCAATATAGATTTTTAACAACAAAAAACAGAGAAAATCAAAACAACAATCAACATAATAACGATGATGATTTTCATTTGATTGATCAATATTTTTTTCCATTTTACTTTGTCTTATCGGCGATAATCCAAAAACATAAATAAAATTGAAGAAAATAAAATGAATTTCAAATGGAAAAAAATTCATTCACAAAAAAAAATTGAATGGATGGTTCATTGGCTTCTGTGTAACCAATAACACTGCACACAAAGAAAACAGTTATATAATTTTGAAATGAAAGAAAAAGGAAAATCAAAATCGAAGAAGAAAAAAAATGGTAAGAAAGAATAAATTTAATCAAAATAATAAATGAAAAATCGAAACCTATCAACTGTAAAAGTATAATAGGATTTACAATCCCAATATCCAGATCCATATATCATCCAACAATCATCATCGTCATCAACAACAATTGAAATCATCAAACATCATACGATCCGATATTTAGACAAACTTTATTGTTACCATCATCATCATCATCATGATCGAAACCATCATCATCGTAACACATGTAAACCACCATCAACAATTATCGATAATTATTCTATGTCATTATTGTCGAGCAAAAAAAAACAA